AACAGCCAGAAGAAGAGTGCCAAGTTGTAGATGTGGCTTAGAGAGAAGAATGTGTGGCTAAGCAGGGTGCCTGACATAGGAAGAGGCCTGAGGGCTAGAGAGTGGCAGCCTGGACTGCTGCATTGAGTCCCTTGGTCTGAGGTTACCCATTCCTGTACAGTGGTACCTCGGGTTAAGTACTTAATTCGTTCCGGAGGTCCGTTCTTAACCTGAAACTGTTCTTAACCTGAAGCACCACTTTAGCTAATGGGGCCTCCCACTGCTGCCGCGCCACCGGAGCACAATTTCTGTTCTTATCCTGAAGCAAAGTTCTTAACCTGAAGCACTATTTCTGGGTTAGCAGAGTGTGTAATCTGAAGCGTATGTAACCTGAAGCGTATGTAACCCGAGGTACCACTGTACTAGGGAAAGGGGAGAAATTTGATTCAATTCACATTTGAAGACAAAGCTGCAGAATTTACATTTTCTGAAACAATGCATGAACCAAAACACACTTAAAAATTGACAATTCTCTGAATTTTGCAATACAGTCATTCAGCAACTAATATGTACAAAAAATGGATATACTTTGGTAAAATGCACATATAAATGCAGATATCGGCACACACAAATGCATCAAATTAGGGAAATTGCTTTGTAAGAATGTGTATAGTGGACAAAAGTACATATAAAAATGTGTACAGTAATATATAAATTTGTATAAAAATGCTGAAACATTTTCATGACCAAAAAATGCAGACTGATGTAGAAGTATGGAGAACAGCACATAAAACTGGAAAAAATGAGAAACTGAGAGAAATTTAAACTGACATATTCTCCTACCGCTTAGATTTCTTTTATGGTGAAACTGGATTAATGGATAGAGGAATACAGTATATACCTTCTGATTTCAACAAAATTTGATATGTTTCTCTACAATATGGTACTATAGAGAAAGTGGGCTAGCATGCTCTGTCTCAGGATGGATAAATTAGATTCCAGGAATTTCAATGAGTATATCCCTAGCAGACTGGGAATCAGGAATTATAAGAACTCAATAAACTGAGTATCTGCCAGGGTGGTTTATACTTATGGAATTCAGAGGACGAATTGTGATTTTGAAGGTCCCTTCCAAGCTAGCTTTTCTTTCTTTCTTTCTTTCTTTCTTTGGAGAAACAGTGTTTTACCAGGTTTAAACAACTTATCTCATGGTCCGCGCCCATCTTAAATCTTTGTGCCTCCATATGTAGGAGTATGATGACAGCAACAGATGTCTAAATTGCAGGTTTGGCAAACTCTAATATGTCCTGCTTTATCAGACTCATGCACTCTAATTTAACTGTTCCAAGGTCTTCCAATCCTTTTGTGCTCACTGTTGCTGTATGACAGGTGCTTTCTAGCTAATTAGCAACCTGTGATTAAACCATAAAGTGACAGGAAGTGGCAAGATAATTACAGCTGCAGTCATTAAGGCACTCGGTCCAGAGTAGTGCAACTGACTTTCTTGGGATTGGTGGAAATGCCAAGATGGCAGCCCTTTAGTAGGATCCATAAACTACTAAACTGGTATGCACAACAATTGTTTTTATGAAGACTTAGCTAGCCCCGTTAAAGTACATGGCTTTACTGCCAGCCTTCCAGTATAGCGTTGGCCTCAGTGCATCAGCAGGTGGCAGAAGGTCAAGGAAGCATTTTTACTTAATCATGCACTCATAAATGTTTGTTTACATGTAGTTTCTTAACATTTCATGAGCAAGACTTACGATATATTTATGTCACCTTTACATTCCTGCATGCATTTACAAAATGCAAACAATCTGCTAGTGTTTCAGGGTGGGGGTGGGGCACCTTATAACAAAAATGGGGAAACACAAGCTATCTAACTTTTTCAAAACAATCCTGGAATCACATACTAATCTAAATGAAAATAGTTAAAAATACATTATTTCTATTAGCTACAAAAGAATTTTTATAATACCAAAGGATACGGTTAGTCATCCAAGGACCCATTTTGTAGGACCATCATCATATAGACTAATACTGTTAGTGATTTCAGTTCTCCAAGTGCTGGTCCTTATGTCAGCGAACAGCAGCTTCCACACACAAGCAAGGGGAATCTGCATGCTCAGGTGAACTCCAAAGTTTGGAGAAGTGCAGCAGTAGCAGCAGCAACAACAACAACAACAAGTACTTTAGGAAAAAAACAATTAATGTGGACAGACTGAGCATGCTTAGTGGCCACAGAATGCAGGTAGGCTGTCAATTAATTAATTAATTAATTAAGTAAATAATATTGATTATGCAGAACATGAAGTGGGATTTGAAAAGCAACCTCCTCTCTTTAGCTGCAAGGAGCCTGGAGCCTGAAAAGTGAGACAAACTATTAGAATTTGGGACATTTGTCAGCCCTCCTATCTAGGGGCTGATCTGGCAACAGAAACACCACCCAAAAGGTGATTTGAGATCATGAAAATGTGAGCATCTGTGGCTGACATCCTTGTTTTCATCTCTCCCCCCAGAGGTTGTATTGCATACCAATGCAACTATTAAAACAGACATTTAGAGGGAAATTGCATAAAAGAAGGCTTTGTCCAATCCATTTTTGTTTATGTAACAAACACTATGCTAAGCAGGTGTTCTAATATATTCAGACTAGCACCGAAAGGCATGTTATTTGTTAATCAAATAATCTGTACTCAATATATTCTCTGTGGTTCTCATTGACTATTCAAGAAACCTGATACAACAGCAGAAAATAAAAATCATAATTAAAGGTGAGTTGGTGACTGACGGCTTGGAAACAGATATGTTTCATAAGTTACAGTGAATCAATTTTTAAAATTACTGCTTTATGAGTATGACAAATGCTGTCTTGTTAAATGTGAATATCAAGATGAACATGCTCTTAAGAGTCTGTAGACAGAACCTTGAAGAGAAGAGTTTCTCTGATTTGGCCCACCTGGAGGGAGCATGGGTGATGTGCACCTCACAGCATCTCTCTGTTGATCAGACCTTCAGGAGGACATGCACCGACTCCTCCTTATGTCTGTAGCAAGCCCAAAGCTTTTCTTCTGAATCCAACCCTTGCTTTTGAAGTGCAGCTGTGGATCCTGCTCATCCCACGAAAACTAATGGGATAGGCAGGTTCCAAGATAAGCCTCTTCTGATGTCCTCAGAAATGTTGGCTCATTTTCTAGTGATCGTTTGCCATAGCTGATCCTAGTGCCATGGGGAAATGTTCTAAGGCAGACACAGTGAAACTCCAGTGAAAAGCCAGGTAACCTACACAGTGCCTTCCAGAGTTTGTAGGGTACAGCTCTCATCATCCCTGATCATTGATCATGCTATCATTGACCCTGATCATTGACCATGCTAACTAAGGCTGATGGGAGTTGTAGTCCACAATGTTTGGAGGGTACCACATTGGCTATATCCCTGAGCTGAAAGTATTTACAGTGGTACCTCGGGTTACAGATGCTTCAGGTTACAGACTCCGCTAACCCAGAAATAGTACCTCGGGTTAAGAACTTTGCTTCAGGATGAGAACAGAAATCGTGCAGCGGCAGCGGGAGGCCCCATTAGGTAAAGTGGTGCTTCAGGTTAAGAACAGACCTCCGGAACGGAATAAGTTCTTAACCCGAGATACCACTGTATCTAGTTATCATCTGAAGAAAAACCATTGGATGCTCCCAAAACCTGAAAATACAGCAATCCAAGTGCAGCCACAAGAGTAGGCCCTGAGATAGCAGTGGACCTCTCTGGGATAGCAAGAGAATTGTTCAACATGCTCAGTAACTGGAGGGAGGGAAAGGAAAGATGCTGTTTACAGTAATTTTTGGCACTGGGCCTTGCCTTTGTTCTCTGATTTTAATGCTTTATTTGTTTTCATGTGAGCCAAGGCCTCTCAACCTGGCTTGAAGGGAAAGGTGAGGGTGGGCCTTGCTTCCCTCCGTCACAATAATAAAATGATGGCTTGGCTGAGGGAATACATTGAATGCCTGCAAGAAGCGTTCTGTGAGTCGGACGTCTAGTCTGCGCCACAGGAAATGTTTATAATGAGTTGCTAATTATTTCTGAGGCCCTTGCATAACATAGATGATAGGGAAACGGGATATCAAGGGATGGCAGCTTGTCCCATTCTCCTGTCTAGGCCTGCCGACGTTCCGACCTCTTGGCCCTTGCAAGTTTGGCACCAAAGCACAGTGAGTGGCACTTAAGAGGGAACCACTGCAATCAATATATTAACTCTGTTCCCAACAGCAGGCTCTGCATCTTAATGCCATTAAATGTTTTGTGTAGTGCACATTTTCGTACAAGATTGTCATCCTGGAGTACAACATACAGACTGGGCACTTACCATGGAATACCTATGCTTTGCTTGCTCAGGGTGTTTTTTTAACAAAGCATATTCATGATGTTATTCACCAAATGATGATTGGATGACCATCTGTCAGGGATTCTTTAGCTGTGACACCTACATGGCAGGGGGTTGGATTAGATGACCCTTGGGGTCCCTTCCAACTTAACAGTTCTATGGTTCTATAACCCATTTGTGATACCAGAACAACTCTTTCACAATATTAAGCCCCCGAACTGGATGCTCCATATGTTGTGCGGCTGACCTTTTGGATTCAGGCCAATGAAATATGAATCCACGTAGCTTCCCTATCTGCACAGCTTGTTCAAGCCAGCCAGAAACTGGTCTTCCCTTTAAAATAATGAGGTAGACATTTATTCTCAGAAAGGTCAGCGATGACGTCAGTGGGCAGGGAGACATATCTCCTTTGGTGCCCAACTGGTGAGCTCGTCATTCTCTCACTGAACAGGGATAGAGTGAGCTATCTTGAGACTGGTTTGGGGCCAAACTCACTGTTTTGTTTCTGAGGTTTGGACACTAATTTTGGTGTTTTTCATCTCATTTCTGGATTGTCTCCTGACAGCCGGCACAGTGTCCTCACCCACCCCCAAGCTTCAGTGCTATTAAGCAGTTTTACAAGAATTGTTGGCACTTATGATGCTTCCTATCGCTCCTGTGAAGGGAGAATTTTGTTGCCAAGTTTCCGGTCCTTGCTTCCTGCTTTGTGACAAGGAGGCTCTCCAGGGAACTCAATGGAGCATAAGAGAGCAGGGAAGGATGAAGTCAGGCCAGCGATAATATCACAGCATTGCGAGAAAGCCCAGCTGGACATAGAGGCCAAATTCTGCTCCATGACAGGATGTCTTCTTCCCCAAAATTCTCTGATACTACCAGGGATCATTCGAAAACCAACAAAAAGGGATATTCCAGAACCTAATTGGGGAGCCTGTTCCTTTGCTGAAAGGCAGTGAGGAGAGGAAATTCTTCCAAACATTTGCAGTGGGTTGAATCCAGATGCATGTGAATGGTGTTCCACTTGCATATCAGAGATTTCCTGCCATTTCTTTACTTCTGAAGCCGTTTGGGTTCCTGGAAAGCCAGGGCTCCTCTAGAAGGTTGTTGAACATGGCCTGTGGGACTGAAGCTGGTTTGGTGTGTGAGAGAGAGAATTGGCAGCACTTAGGCATTTGTGTGAGCTGGAGGTCCTACCACTTAAGGGCCTCTTTGACACTTGCCCTCTATATTATCTATATTCCTTTCATGGTAGTCCTTTTCTTCAGCACATAAGGCACCCATTTCTTCCTGACATCCTGTTAAATATTTGAAAGTGCCAATTTGTCAAGGGCTAATTAAAGGTTTATGAAGGGGCATGAAGACTTCCTGCCTATTGCATATTTATGTGCCAATAGACTTGACATGAACTAGATACTGCCCATGGAGGCATACAGCTTCTTATCCCTTTAGTTTCTGAAGCGAGTCCGTAATTTGTTTTATGAGCTGAATATTCCGAGGTTATTCAGCTGTTCCTTCTATAGTTTGAATTCTAGCTTTTTTTCCTTGGTAGCTCCCCCTCCCCAAATCTTTCCAATTTGTCCATGTCCTCTCTGAACTGCAGTATATTACTTACAGATAGTAAAAAACTTTTCTCTTTTTGGACCGTTGAATGAAGTTTTCCAATCATTCTGTGTTTCAAAGTAGGCTCCATGCTTTCCTACAGATAGGTAAAGAAGAAATTAGGGAAGCTTACTTGTAAAATGCTTAACTTGCCTCATGACTTGCTATGTTGGACTCCTTTTTCGACTGAAGTGTGGGATAAAACACTTTAGATCTATAAATAATAAATTTGCCAGTCCGTTTCCCAATTGATCAAATGAATTTACTCTGATGTCTATCCAATTGGGGAAGTAGATCCTAATTTAACATAGGTATCTGAGCCACAAAGAAATTTATGGGTTTTGGGGAAGACATCAAGCACAGCTTTAACCTCGCACTAGCCCCTACTGGCACATTTGTAGGCATTCAGTTGTCACTGATCATATTCTGGTTCTGTGGCTTCTCCAGAGTAAGGGGCACATGACTGGGATTCTATGCACAGCTTGAGTTACTGATTACTGATTTCACAGGCCTGGAAATCCGACTCTTTCCACCCAGTATTGATGACCCAGAAAGCAAAGCTCCTAGAACTGATATTCCTGGAGCCTTTGAAATTTATACAAATGAACACTGAATAAAAATGTAATGACATATGGGGTGCCTTTCAGGATTGCTTTGATGATAACTGTATTCCCTCCCCCATAGCAACAGCTGCTGTGACATAATATCTCACCTGGCTGTTTGCCCAGGTGACACAGAAAATTCCTCTCCTGCCTTCCCACTTTCTTTTTTCATGCCCCCTGACAAACACACACACACCCTGTTACTTTTCCTACCCACCAGGAAAAAAGATTGTATTATTTGAATTCACAGCAATCAAACAGCTAACAAGAATGCAATTTATTATCAGTTTCTTCTCTTTCATTTACATTTGTACTGTGAAGAGAGATTTAGTTTTCTGCATTTAAAAAGAAGAAAGATTTAAATGGTTTGTGGTTTCTCTTTTTATTGCTAAAGAAACTGGAGCATTTAAACAACCTGTGGATAAAACTTACTGGAAGCTCCTAATACTCAATAAATTTACATTCATTTTCACTGCTTGCTTTTATCACATTGATGGATTTGTGGTCCCTGTGGTTACCTATCAAGTCAACAGGATTGTTTTCTTCCTGTAACTTTTAGTGTTTTATGAACTGCGGCTTTTGATTGCTCTACTTTTAATTGATAGCTTATCTGAATGCTAGTTTAGTATTTGCAGGGGTGTAGTTTTAATTGTTTATTTTTATTGCACAGTGGTATTCTTTGTAAGCTGTTCTGAGTATAAAGAACAGAAAAGCAGGGTATAAATAACAATTACACAAATGATAATGATAATTTACCATTTCCAGCTGATGAACCCCCAGCAGATGATGAAAGTGCTTTCTGGACCTCGCATACAAAGCTTTGCATTTACTTTTCTCCAGTCCATCAAATCAGCCTGTCCAATTTTCCAGTCCTCCATTGTGCACCAGCTTCTTGCTATTATCAGCAATTTCATCAAGACATTTCTCATTGCAAGTGATTACTAACTACAATAATCATGCTGAACACTGCAATAGTGTAATGATTGCTTCTTCTTCCATGCAAGACAGCATTTTAATTTTATTTTCTACTGGGAAACTGTGGGCAGGGGAGATGGCGTGCAACTGACAGCTGGAGAAACCAAGTCACCAGCCACATGCTCACCAAAGTCTGTGGAGAAGTTATAGATCAGCAAGCGTATATTCCACAATTTCTTAGTGACTGTCCAATCTAGGATTCATTCTGTTTTCAAGCAACTGCAGTAGCTGCTGAACATTATGATCCCCACCCCTGGGAGGTAAAATCTCAGATCACACTAGGAAGGCAGTCCAGATTTGTAAAGGGAAGCAGACTCATGCCACGTGAGATATTCCCAAGTGGAGATTCGTGCAGTTATTGATTTTTCCCAGGCTGCGTAGAATTCTTTGCTGCAAATTAAAGGGGCCAAATGAGGTTAAGATTCTTGGGCCACATTCTCAGCTGGTGTGTGCATCCACTAACTTTACTGGAGGTGTGCCAGTCTCCAGTCGCCCAGAGTGTATTTAAACATCGTGGAGGGCTGCAATCCTAAGCAGTCCTGCTAGAAAGCAAGTCTCATCTAATTCCAAGGGACTTGCTTCTGAGTAAACATGCTTAAGAAAGTGTCTCATGTTTCCTACCCAGCGAGTGCATTGGTTAGCGATGCTGAATAGATATACAGTATTTTTTCCCCAACTCCTTTTCCTTTGTGCCCGTTAGAACTACCAAGGGAAGTGAGAAAGGCCTCCTGGGAAAGCTACAAATCTCTGGAAGGCTTAAAGGAAATAATAATAATAATAATAATAATAATAATAATAATAATAATTTATTATTTATACCCCACCCATCTGGCTGGGCTTCCCTAGCAACTCTGGGCGGCTTCCAAAAAAATATTAAAATACTGTAATACATCAAACATTAAAAGCTTCCCTAAACAGGGCTGCCTTCAGATGTCTTCTAAAAGTCTGGTAGTTGTTGTTCTCTTTGACATCTGGTGGGAGGGGGTTCCACAGGGAGGGCGCCACTACTGAGAAGGCCCACTGGCTGGTTCCCTGTAACTTAGCTGCTCGCAGTGAGGGAACCGCCAGAAGGCCCTCAGCACTGGACCTCAGTGTCCAGGTAGAACAATGGGGATGAGAAATGCTTCAAGAGAAATGCTTCAAGAGGATCCTAGAATGGGGTTGCATGTTTGAAATTCACATTTGAGAGATGTTATGAAATGCAGCGAGAACTTGGCACTTGATTGGAAGGCTCTTGTCACAAGTTTCAGGTACTGGCAACATCAACAATTAGGGAAACTGCCAGTTCCAAAGGTTCAGAAGCTGTGAATCAGGAGTCCGAAAGTGTGAGCCTACATGAAAATAAAAGCTATTAAGGAAAGGGTGGGTAACTAAATTAAGGTCCTGTCACATTTTGTATGATTTACACATACAGTGGTACCTCGGGTTACATACACTTCAGGTTACAGACTCCACTAACCCAGAAATAGTACTTTGGGTTCATAGAATCATAGAGTTGGAAGAGACCACAAGGGCCATTGAGTCCAACCCCCTGCCAAGCAGGAAACACCATCAGAGCACTCATGTCAAGTTTGTGGTCAACCAAGACTCCTAGATCCTTTTCACATGTACTGCTCTCAAGCCAGGTGTCACCCATCTTGTATTTGCGCCTCTCATTTTTTTTGCCCAAGTGCATTACTTTACATTTCTCCCTGTTAAAATTCATCTTGTTTGTTTTTGCCCAGTTCTCTAATCTGTTAAGGTCATTTTGAAGTGTGATCCTGTCCTCTGGGGTGTTAGCCACCCCTCCCAGTTTGGTGTCATCTGCAAATTTGATCAGGATGCCCTTGAGTCCATCATCCAAGTCGTTGATAAAGATGTTGAATAAGACCGGGCCCAAGACAGAACCCTGTGGCACCCCACTAGTCACTCTTCTCCAGGATGAAGAGGAACCATTGATGAGCACCCTTTGGGTTCGGTCAGTCAGCCAGTTACAAATCCAAAATTAAGAACTTTGCTTCAGGATGACAACAGAAATCATGCTCTGGTGGCGTGGCAGCAGCAGGAAGCCCCATTAGCTAAAGTCGTGCTTCAGGTTAAGAACAGTTTCAGGTTAAGAACGGACCTCCGGAACGAATTAAGTACTTAACCCGAGGTACCACTTTAGATGGTTCATTTTACACAATTCTCTAAAAGATTAACAGGGTGTTAAACAATTGTATACTTTCAGAAGACTGTAGAAAGGGTGGGAGCAGGCAGACTGTGCACTGTGAGAGTACTAACTCCCTCGCTGTGTGTGTGTGTGTTTGAGAGAAACTAATTCAGATGCAAAATTTTAAACCAGGAGCGTGTTTTTCAAAGAATAGCAAGTATTACTAGATTATTTTTATAGCAGGAGGTTAATTTCTAGCTTCTTAGAGCACACTATGTTATTTCATAATTTTAGTGTTTCTCTATAATAATCAGAAATGCTATCTAACAAAAGCTGAACCTATCAGGATTATTTCTAAAGGTTCTCCCTTAAGCAATGAAGCCCAGTTCTTTGCCATCTTAACTGATTTGTTCCACAAATGAGGAGTGGGAGAAGGAAACTGATTTGTTTAGGGTTTAGAAATTATGCAGAAACACCACCTCTGGCAGAGAGTTGCTCCTAACGGTGTCCGTTGAAATATACACAGTTGCATCTTAAAGGTTCTGATGGTTAAGGTGCCCTTTTTGATTTAAAAAATGATTCTTGCTTTTAGTAACAACTGAAAAATAATCATTACCAGGAAGTAATTTTTATTGCTTATTGCTCTCTAGCGGTGAGATGGGATATAGCACAAAGAAAAAGCAAAACTGTACATTGTAAGCTGGCAGACGCCCAGTGCTACAACACCCAGAAACATGTATGAACATATGAAGCTGCCTTAAAACAAGGCAGCCCATTACTCCACCTAGTCCAGAATGATAACAGACAGTAGTTTTCCAAGGTCTTAGGACCCAACGTCTGCTTAATGGAAGATGTCAAGGGACAGAACCTGGAGCTTTCTACATGCAAAGCACGTTGCTCTATAACGATGTATTGCCCCTCACATTTAGACACTGTGACATTTGTTCTGAGGCATGTCCTGGATGGCTACATCAGCCGTTTGCAGTGACTGGCACAGTTCAGAGTTACTGCTATAGGCAATTAGGGGCTGTCATAAAGACAGCGAGGCCTGATATCCCTCATGCTTCTTAGCAGAGACTCAAACGTTCAGGCAGAAAGCAGGCAGGCATGGTAGCACCTCAGGAATTTACCAGCAGAGATGAACTATCACACACAATGTTGCATTCATTCAATATTATTTTTTACATGGGGCTTGTGAGAATAGCATCTACCCCATAGGGAGGCTTGCCTGCTCCAAATGTGGGGGCTCCCTCAGTATCTCCTGGTGCAGCTGAAGTGCAAGCTCCTTTGAAATGGGTCCAGGGGGTGGGAAGCTGAATTTTTTACTTTGTAAGAACTTAAGAAGAGTGTGGCTGCATCCGACCCAAGGGCTATCTGGGGCAGCATTTCAAGGTAGCCAACAAGCTGCTTATGGGAAGCCTGCAAGTAGGACCTGAGCTCAATAGCACTTTTCCTACTTGCACGCCCCGGCAGCTGGCATTGAGAGGATGGAGAACACAGCCATGTGGCTAGCGGTCACTGAGCCTTGCCATCCCCAAATTTGCCTAACCCCCTTTTAAAACCATCTGCATCGGTGGCCGGTGCATCTCATAGCAATGAATTCCATAACGCTGCAACATGTGAGGAAGTACTTCCTTTCATCTGTTCTGAACCTCCCAACATCCAGTTCCATGGAAATCATCCCAGCTTCTATTATTATCAGAGGAAGAACCTCTTCACTTTCATCCGTGCTTTTCGTAACATGAGAAAGAGTTCAGAGACACTCTGTGCAAACACAACATCCCATGGAAAAGACAATTCTCTTCCCCACCCTCTCAAAAGTGGCTTTATACAGGAAAAGAATCGTAACACGATGTTATGACTAGCTGCGCTGCATCAAACAATAGGGCATCTGAATTCAGCCTCCTGCCACAACCTGACATTTGTAGGCACAGAGACTTCTGATTTAGAGCTTGGAATGCACAGAACTTTATGCATTTCTGATGTGGCTGAAGGATTGCTGTAAACATGTGGCATCTCCAAGTAGACTTAAAAGCTCATTTGAGCTCAGATGACTGTGAAGAACAGCTTGCAAACACTTGAAGCTGCCCCCGAGTAATGCTCCATGCCCTGCCAAAAATAAACGTGCCATTCCTACATGGGGTATATCATCTCAGCCTCAATGGAAGGGGCTGGGAGCACCCAGCGGGGAAAAGTGCCGGAAGGCAACAGAGCAAGCATTGCAGCAGTAAAGCAGCAGAGGCCTACTGGGTGTAGCTATGGAAACGTTCCCTCCCTGTGGAATTCATGCTACACTCCATATCTCTGGATACATAGGGTACAGTTACTCTCAGATCCAGGTCCAGCAGAGACTTGGCAACTACATGCACAATAAAGGACACACTTTTCCTGTTGCCAGGAAAGAATCTCTGAATGCTTCTGAATACCAGTTGCTGGAAATCATACAGGAGAAGTGTATGCTCTTGTGTCAGATCCTGCTTTCAGGCTTTCCACAGGCATCTGGCTGGCCACTGTGAGAACAGGATGCTGGACTAGATGGGCCATTGGTCTGATCCAGCAGGCTCTTCTTAGGTTCTCTGAAGAAAGAACTGAGGGCCTGACTCTGAGGCCAAGGTTGCCATGGTTTGGCTTCATTGAATCCTGTAGCCAGAGCCCCTATTTCACTCAGAAGGCAGAGAAATATATCCCCCTGTTGGAGGAGTTTCTGCTCAGTGTGCATGCCCTTTTCCCTCTCTAAGACTAACCTTCCTCAGGCTCTGCCCCTCTACAGGGGGTGGGGTGCGGCATTTTTTATACTAAGGGCCATATTCCCTCATGGGCAACCTTCTGGGGGCCACTTGCCAGTGGCAGGTGGAGCAAGTCCCAAAAGGATGCAGGGAAATGGATGTGACTTTTGTAGGTCTGGACTGTACGGAGGTCAGAGGTTTCCTCACACACCCAACTTCATCTCTCCATCTTGGCAAGCAAGAGACATTATTGCAGTTCAAGGATTCCAACCAGGCAAGAGCACTTGAGTAGGCCTGGGAAAGAGAGGTAATGGTGGCAATATGTGGAGATAGAAAAAGCCAGATTCAAGCCCGGGCCTGAGGTGATTTGTAGAATTCAGGATCTACTGAGAACTTTAAGCAGAAGATGCACTTAATGTTCAGAAAGAATTCACGGCACTCCGAGTCCAGCTTCAAAAAAGAACTGAGAAGACAAGCAAATCAATGAAATGAATGCTGGCCAAAGCCCACCCATCTTGCTCCTCTCACTACCCACTTCTCTCTTACAGTGCCACCTCCACCTCCTTCCTTGTTTTCTGGCTGGGAAAAACTGGCAAAACAATCTGCAGCTTAGTGCCTCCATCACAGACTTCATGTTGGAGTAGGAACAAACGAACTGGGAAGAAGAGAGGGGATTTAGGTCAGGGTAGCAGAGAACAGAAATAAACATAAGCGTAGATTGCCGACAACTTAAAACACACACACACAATCCTTTAAAAAAAACACACCCCAAAAGTTCCTGTACGTGAACTTTCTATCTTTCAGGGCTCATTCAAGGTTTGCAGGGAATGTGAAAGTGCACTCTGCATTTTGGCACTGAAGTTGAATGGGTACAAGTTGAACATCCTCATGTTGTATCTTTTCAGAGATCATCTCCAGCTACTTCAAAGCCTGGCCAACTTATGTTTCCACAAGCTAATTCTTGTTTATATCCTACCTTGTGCTTTCAATTTGCACTTTAAGCAACACCTTCACAGTGTGTATCTAATTAAATGAGGTCTCGATGGAAGTCTTCTCTTCGTATGTGTTGCTGATAAATATTAGGCTATAAAAAACACGAGGGACCTGGCTTTTATCCACTTTGCGTCGGTCTGTTAGAAAGTGCATCCACCCCCTGACAGATTAAGGTTTTCTCATCAGTAATTTCAAAACACAGGGAGAGTGAAGTGCCGGAACATGTTTCTCCCCTTCGCTTCAAAGTCAAGGAGGCACTTGAGAGCTCTTTGGCAGTGAGGTGAGAAAAACGAGCTTCGTTTCTTCTGGTTCAGAGGTCTGAGAGCTCTTGAGTCCCGCAAGGTGATTTGTCATACATCACGTCTTCCTTCGCTCAGCCACCGGGCCCGATACGTGGTCCACCCCCTTGGGCTCTTATCAGACTGGGAAGCATGATATATTTGTGCCAGCTTGGACTGAATCTTGCATTCCCAAGCCTGGTCATCAAGCTCAGTGGCAGCAGCCAAGGCCAAGAGGAAGTAGTTAGCTGCATCTTGTTCATCCTGAGGATAAAGGGGACAGGAAAATTAGAGGGGTGAGAAACCAGTTTGATTGACTGTGGGTATCAATGCAGGGACCAAAGCATAATGGATGCTCCCCAGATCTCTTTAAGCAAGTTGCACAGTTAGTCAATCACCAGGGGAATACTGACTTTGCTCTAATCGACCAATACAGATAATTATTAATTAATTTCCGCCTCCACACATCTATTTATTGTATCATTTATTATTTACCCTCCACCATCCTCACTAGGTGCCAATAGGCATCTAACAATAATATACTGAATATTTAATTCAGTATAAAAGCAGAGCAATGCGATAAATAAAACTGTAATTAAAAACCCTAAATAAAAGCAAGAGCAGAGAAAAAGCAACACTGAAAATTAAAACAAGCATCCCAAAGAAACACCAGCAGCAGAAACACAAATCACTCTGTCGGGGCAACGGCTTCATCTGGTGGCAGAAAGTTAATAGAGAAGGCTAATTGGGCCTCCCTCAGAAATTAGTTCCAGAGCCTAGGTACAGGCCCTGTCTTGCGCCCTTGCAAAACATGCCTCTGATATTGGTGTGATAGAAGGGAAGGACCTCTCCCAACGATCTTTTAAAAACCAGAGGGAACCTTGAAAATATGATTACATTTGTGCCTCAAGCAGCATTTTTTGAGAGGAACTCTTCCAGTCATGGCACAGCTTCTAATAAGTTCAGAAACTTCAGCTGGTGCAGAATTCAGCAGCCAGGTTGCTCAGCGGGACAAGACAGTTTGAGTATGTTTTACCGATTCTGGCCCGACTACACTGGCTGCCAATTAGCTTCTGGGCCCAATTCAAAGTGCTGGTTTTCACCTATAAAGCCTTAAACAGCTCACAATTGCACTACGTCAAGGACTGTCTCTCCCCATATGGACTGACCCAGACGCTGTGATCATCATCTGAGGCCCTTATACATGTGCCTCCTCCACAAAAGGTCCAGAGGGTGGCAACATAAGAATGGGCATTTTATGCAGTGGCTCCCCATTTGTGGGATGCTCTCCCCAGGGAGGCTCGCCTGGTGCCTTCATTACATATCTTTAGGTGCCAGCCAAAAATGTTTCACTTCAACCAGGCATTTGGCTGATTAACATTCTATGGCTTTTAAAATGTGTTTGTGGGAGGGAGATTATTGGTTTGTTTTTGTTTTATTATGAATTTTGTGTTCTCATTTTTTGTTTTTATGTTGTGAATCACCCTGTGATCTTCAGAAGGGTGGTATACAAATTTTAACAACAACAACAACTATGTTTCATACCTAGCCACAGAGAATGAGGTGGGGTGGTCTAGATTGCCAGAGAGAAAAATTAGTGTCGAAGGGAAGTAGCAGGGCTATTGAAAAGCAAAATTAAGGTTCAAGACCTGTGTGTCAAACTGAAGTCAGAGGATTTGGAGGTCCAGGGAAGACTGAACAGGTTCTGGAACTGCAGCAAGGCAGAAGCCAGCACAACAGAGCACGTACATCACCACAAATGGGTGGCATTTTCTGGAACAATTCATGGCAACTGATGACTGCAGGCTCTTAGATTTTTAATGGGATAGTGAAAGACTTCATTTAAGCGCAAGGTCAGACGAAACTTAGCATGTGGCCTTGCCACATGTTTAGTGAGATTCATCACAGGATGTGTCACAGATTGCTGTCACTCACCTTTAGTTTGTGCAGGGTCAAATCTCCCAGGCGACAGTAAACCTTGGAATAATACATAGCTTCCTGAGCACCTTGCAACAATGGTGAGCGTAGAGAGAGTGTCCTCAAGTAGCAGTCCTCAGCCATTTCATACATTTGCAGACAATAGTACACTGTCGCCAGGCGGTGAAAGGCAACCACTTCTTGCAACTGATCTCCTTAAATTAAAATTAAAATTAAAATTAAAATGAAATAAGATTAATGATACATCCTACTAATATACAAATGAGTACATGTTTGGTGACTCTCGGTGATGTATGAATTGAGGATGCTTCTCAATTTCCTTCTTTCTGAATTTCTGTCCCCCCCCCCAAAAAAAAACAAGAGCAAAACAATGAGCAGTTCCTCTGAATTAATTTGTTTTGGTTGCAGTGCTGCTGCTACTGCGTGATGCCATTTCCCCTGGCTTTTCAATGCATATTCCAATCCCTATGTCCTAAAAAAAAAATCTGTGTCACTGTCAATTTGATAGCATAAATTCATGTCAAACTCTTGACAGGTAGGTTTCCCATCAATTAAAACAAAATAAATATACATGTTATTATTGTCTCTGTTGTATGATTTTTTTTTATTCATTATGCATTTTTTTAAATGCAGTTTTTCATTACACAAGATTAGAAGCATCGATTACTTCCATGGAAAGAGGGGGGAAATTCACAGCAAAGAAGGGATGGACTGAACGGCAACTCTTGCACTTTAATATAACTACAGAACAGACTATAAATCTGAAATTGGACACACTATTTCTAAAAGTAATTGCAGAAAATTTCTACTGAAAATCAAAAGATAGGAGGAGCAAAACAGATTTATACATTGACAGATTTAGGGAGATCTACACACTCTTCCTCAGAATGAATACACACTGTATTGTGGCCAATGGTAGCTAACCCAGATTAAAAAGCTGGTTGAGTTTATGGATAATTGGCATAAAATGGTGGACTGGAACAAGTATCAGTTTATTTCAGTTAGGAATTTCTAGACTACTGGCTGCAGCCACACTAATATAAAGCCAATAATGTTAACATAACATAAGAACGTAACAGTCCTGCTGGATCAGGCCAAAGCCCATCTACTCAAGCCCTCTGTTCTCACAGAGACCATGTGCATTGTCTTGGTTAGATAATTTCTAGTTGAGACATGGGAAGAATTCATTTGGGGAAAGATGAACATATTTGGGAACTCTTCCTCAGTGACAGGGTCCCCAGCAATGAATGATAAAACTCCTTCTTTTCTTTCTTCAGTTCTTAAAATCAATACAGACCCACCTCCTTTGCTTCCAAACAGGTATCTATCTCCAAGAGCAACAGCAGAAGACATCTCTTACTTAGGCATTTGGTGACATTCTGTGCTCTTTTTCTACCTTTACTATCTTGGTTTTGCAATGTATTTATTTAAAATATTTTTAGCCTGCTCTTCACTGCAGAGTGAGTTGCTATTAAAATGTGTATTATAATAGTGGCTTTTCCGGGAACAGCAGTCTCTCTAATTCCTGGTCCATTGCACCTCTCCCTGGGTGCCTTCCACAAGATAGCTTAGACATTACTGTGCTATGTATCCTTAGTCCTTTCCTACCTACATCCACACTGAGCCTGGTTGCCAAGGTAGCAAATTCCAAAGCCTTCTCATAATTCTGGAGTCCGAGCTGCAGCTCCGTCAGCTTGTTGAACACTCTCAACTCAGTCTGCAGCACCTTCAGCTTCCTAGCCAAAGGGACAGCTCCTCCCTGGGGGGGGGGGGGATGACACAATGTTTTCACGTCACTTCACAACTTCCCACCATGTCACACGACCATTCGAGCTGCATATTAGCCCTTTGGAGAGAAGGACACTCCAAACAAAAGGGATATGCCATTATACCGGTCTCCTTCCACCATTCAGTACATCTAGCATTTCCCCTTGTGTTTACTAATAGCGTATTGATAATTTAGCATATAGCAAACAAGACATTACTCCTCTAAGTTGCCCCCCATTCATCTCTACCCACCCAATATCAGCCACTTCAACATCCTCAAAGGAGAAGAACTTGGAATACATTTAAATTTTTTTAACAATATTCATTATTATTACAAGGTCTTGTAGAGGAAATTGTGGAGGAAATTGGGGCGCCAAGTCTCTCTGTGACCGTTTCTCCTTCAAATTCTCATTTTCTAATGAGTCAAAATAAACCCAGCAAATCCCAGGCCTTGACATTTTCTTCTCATATGATAATTAGCATAAATACAGTAATGTATTCTGCCCTATCCCTTGTACCCCCCAGAAGAAAAAGAGATTGTTACACAATGTGTGTGTTTTGTAACTCTGGAACTTTGTTCCATTGGCTGTTGTCTAGAAACTGTAAGGCAGCCTTCTGCAGCTGGAGCTGATGGGAATTACAGTCCCAAACATCTGGAGGGCACCAGGGTCAGGGTAAGCTGCAATAAGGGCTTGCCTTTAAGCTACATGTCAGCTCTGTTCAATTCAACCTTCTGCTACTACAAGAATGATGCAATGTGCAAACTTTTCTTAAAATCAAATAAAAATTCTCAGGATAAAAAACTAATGCAATCAAGGGTACAGTTGGAATAATCAGTCTTTTATACATTCCAGGCTTTCAAAAATGCTGTGAAAAATGGCCTTTAATCTAAGGAGTTCACTCCTTTGTATCTAGCCATGCTACATGCTACATTGATGCAGCATAATATTTCTGCCTATGTTCCCCAGCTGAAACACAATCTCCTGCTTTAAAGTAAGCACCCACTGAGAATAGCAAGACAGAATGATAATGTTTCGTAAGGCCATGAGACAAACCAAGCCCACAGAGCCCCACTTCAAGTCCTAATGAAGACAGCCAGAGAACAACAACTCTGAGACATTCTCATATGACTTCACAACTACATTATTTCTCATGTGGAATATATTCTTGCTCATAAAGAGTCCGCAAACTATAGAAGCACTATAGTTCAATAAACCTATGAACAGTCATGAGGTGTGTGAAAAAGCATGTCTCCTTAAACTTCCTCCCTCTACCTCAGCATAGGCTATCTCAATCCATGTCAGTAATACTCAAGTGCAGTCGTGATAAGTAGATCTTCACAGATACAGACATAAGTGCCATTTTTGTGTGTGTGGTTAATACCCTGTAATAGTCCACTGCCTTTTGTCTGTTCCGGATCCCATTGAAAAAGACATCACCAGCCTCTTCATATAGTTCCATGGCCAAATGCAGCTCTTCAGATTTCAGTGACGTCTGTATGGCTGCCTGGGAAAGGGATCAGGTCAGGGTAAGAGCAATGGCAGTATCATCATACAAGAAGAATGTAAGGTATGGCTAAAAGTTATGACTGAATGTTATGCCCGGCCCTTCGTCATTGCAGCATATATGCAATGTTCGTGTTTTCTCACAGTATAGTAACTACAGTGGTACCTTGCTTTTTGAACGTCTCCGTTGACGAACGTTTCAGTTTTCGAACACCATAAACCCTTGTAAATGCTTCGGTTTTCGAACACTTTTCAGAAGTCGAACATGTCACGCAGCTCCCGTATTGAGTTTTCCGTACTGAGTTTTCGGTTTTTGAATGTTTCAGAACTCAAACGGTCTTCCGGAACAGATTACGTTCGAAAACCACTCTATATGAATGCCATTTGCTACTTACATCCAGGAGCAAACCAATTCAATATTCCTACACAACTGCCTACAAATCAGTGGGGTTGTACTGGAATGGACAGAGTCAGAAGAGTCTGAATTTCTATTGCAAACATAAAGTCTTCTTCTCCAAAACTGTAGTGCACTCATGATTACGAAGAAAAAAGTGATTATCACATATACTAAAAGTTCCAAAATTATTGCAGACTTCCATTGATCAAGGGGCCAATGTCCGCCTGCCTCACTCCATAGCTCCCCCTCTTTCTCCACCTTCCTTCTGTACTGTGGCATCTATTGCTACAACACTCTTCTATTTAACTCCCTCTTCCCCTCTAGCATTCATTGCCAGTCTCCCCAGGGGGAAAACATCCAAATGTCGCAAATAAATCCATATGCTTCAATAACATTTCTTCAATTTTAAATAATCACGGGGGTTCACTTCATGAGCTCTTCAGTAATGGAATTTGAGAGTTTGGGCACAAATAAACCTTTTATCAGTGTGCCGTGAGTCATTGCACATGTCATACCCAAGTGAAGCTCTGAGCATATAAACCTGCATGTCAGTACAAAATACAAGACATGTGCCTCTCCCTCAGCCAAGATCTATTCAGTGTCCATCAACTGGTGGGAAATTTATTGCCACTGCTGACACTACTTCTCTTAGACACTGACTCTGACTCAGCAATCACCATGCGCCAGACATTGTACATTAAATCAAAAGATAATGATTTTCCTGCAGATAGCAGTTTGCTATTTATTAGTGTTTGGAACCTCAGCTTGGCAATCTTACATCACAGAGCCGTTAATTAGACACAACCAGGCCTCTTATTTTTACTTTACCTGCAAATACATTTCCACAAGTTCATCCTCTTGCATTTGATAGTAAAGCCTCCCAGCCTGCAGCCAGGCCTGCGCTGTTTTGACCGTTTCCTCCAGGTCAATGAAGATTCTCAGACTCTGTTTGGTGTAATCCAGGGCCCGTTTCACATATCTGTGGGGTTGATGGAGGCTCCATTATTGCAAAGAAAATGTGGGAGCTTGTGCATCAAGTCAAAACAAACCAATCCTTTCTGACCAGCCCTGCAAAGCTTTCCTTGCATCATTGTTTCCTAAGTCCGACACAAGCTGAATGATGGTCCCCTTTCATTTAGTGCTAAACTTAACAGAGAAGCTCTTATAAAGCAGGTGGAATGGGCCAGGCATGTCATAATCACTTACTGTTCCAAGACCTCTACTGCATTTGGTGTAAGGAAAACAGTGGCTTCCACTGTAGTTCTGTTATCAAGGAGTGTCCTGCCATGGATCTATGCCTTTCCTATTCCCTACAAAATGAAGTCCAGTTCACACTGTGCAACAGAGAGTAGCCTCTCTATGGGCAAGAATGAGTCTGAGGTTCATAACTGGCAACATATTAAAAGTGTGTTTACATCACCTATGAAATCTGTTCCCTCCAATCGTGGTAAATGGATTGCACATGAGATGTTTGCACATTAGTAATGGGATCAATATCACACAGCAAACATGGCAAAGAGTAGGCCATCCAAGAGATAACTGTTTGTAGTTGTGATTTTAGTGTTTTTTTAAGGAAAAATAACTGCAACTGATGTCTTTTCATCTCAGTGGCTACTGATTTCTCTTTTCTTTCTTTTTTTTGGAAAATATTTTTTATTTGCTTTTACCAATACAAGTTTACAATCCAGCAATTTATATAATCATCTCTTGACATTATCTGAATCTCGACTGCCCCCCATCCCCTACATGGTTCCTTATTACAATGTTCATAACTGCATATAAGTCCATTCTCCAAATTTCATTTTTTCTAATCATCCATCGTTACATTGCAAGTGAGTCTTGGAGTCCAGCTAAAGTTTTAATTTGCTTACAACGGTCTCCTAAATAAATTATAAATTGTTCCCGTTCTTTTTCAAAGTTCTTATCCTCTTGACTCCTGAGTCTCCCCCTTCGTTTTGCCATTTCAGTGTAGTCCAGCAGTTTGGCTTGCCCATTCTTCCCTAGCCAGGATTTTTTCTTCCTTCCATCCTTGGGCTAGTAACATTCATGCAGCTGTTGTCGCATATGTGGCTACTAACTTTTCAGTGACTCCTGTTCATCAGATAAATTATTTGCTACCATTCTTCTGGGAACCTGTAATCCTCCAGATCTTGCTGGACTACAACTCCTATCATGCCTGACCGCTGGTCATGCTGGCTGGTGATGATGAGAGCTGGCGTTCAACAGCATCTGGAAGGCCACAGATTCCCCACCTCTGGCACAGAAAGACGCTATCACAGACAGCCAGAAGCAGTCACCTCAAATCTTTTTTTAAAAAAACCCTCTGGTGGGACAGTGCCACATGGCTGAGGAACAGTGAAATTTGCGTTTGAGATGATGGATGAATAAGGTGGCGGCAGGAGATGGGTGAGATTTAAGAACATCCTGTCTGCTCTAGGATGCAAAAGACATCTTTTCATGAAAGCTGTTGGTCATATGTGAAGTGTTTCTCTCCTTTTCAGACAGGCAGTATTGGAATGATGTCACAATGGCCTGTCAGTCTTCAGGTGAGCAGCATCAGCATGAGGTCACATTGCCAGTATTCCCCCTTCAGAAGGGCAGTGTCAACACAGGGCCACATTGTTCTCCCTCCCTCACTGAAGCAGAGAGCAGCAGCATGTCTTATATAAACAACTATTTATCTCTTTCACTGGAAAAGCCGGAAGCCAGAAGTGGATACAGTCTCCTCCTCATGGAGGGGGCTCCTCTGTAACAGTATGTGGGTACAATTTCTTTTTTCTTTTATCAGTGTGTCTGTACTGTAGACACCAGTGTTTTCTTTCTGTACTGTAGACACCAGTGTCTCTCTATCTGAAATGGAGGGCGGCATGTAGTCAGAGAAGTGGCAGATAAGGAGTTGATGGGCAGGCATTCCTACACAGTTCTTTCCATTGTGCATCCCTTTTCCTCCAGGGTAACCTGTAATCTTGAGCAAGGAGGCTTACAGTACAAAACTCCTCTTCGTATATTCCTTCCCTCTGAGCTCATTCTGACCTTTCATAGGAAGGGTAGCATTCAGATTCCTAAGCAATCATAACATAGCCAATACTGCAAACAAAGCAGTGGTAACTTGCAGGTACACGACAGATAGCTGTATTTAAAATTAAGTGAACGATATTTATTCTCAGTATGCCCTGGGGCTAATTTACCACCTAATTTACCACCTGCACTAAATGCCAAAAATATTTTCCTGGGGTATTTCATACTATTTTTCAAACTGTTCAAAGCAGTGTACACCCCCCCCCCCGGGCAATATAAAAACATTAAAAACTATGTTTCTCAATGGATATGGATACTTTTTGAAACAAATGTATGGTTTGCTTTAAGACCCACTGTGCCGTGTTTTGCGGCTGGTGTAGTTCATGCCATGTGGTCCGTACCCAACAGTGGCATTTAAAATTTCTTATTTAAAATTTAATGAGTTTGCACTAAAAATGATAAAAGTGAAAATAATTGAAGTTGTCTGACAACAAAATCACAGAAATAAAAAACATGGTTAGAAATGCCTCATTTTTTCCATCTTAAATGTTGTACATGGTGCCGACTCACCTGGTTGTCTGCAGACTCTGGTAGAGCTGGCTGAGGACCTGCAGAAGCTGCCCTTCCATTTCTTTGTCCTGGAGCTGCTGAGCTAGGAAGAGTTGGTGCTCATGGTAGATGATGCAGGCCCCAGTGTTGGGCTGCACTTTGCGATAGAAATGGCAGATGGACTCCGTGACCTGAAGTTGACCTGGGTCGCAAGATTTCAACATTTAAAATTGTGGGGTGTAAAAACGTATTGCAGTCAAATACAACATTCCTACAATGCACATGCTGGGGAATGCTTTGTATCACTCAGGAGAAAACTTGCCAGTTCCTCCTGAGCTGGGACAGACTTCCTTTGCATGTGACTTAATGTGGGTGTGGCCTGTTCTTGGACAGAGGAGCACACGGCCTCCATGTTCTGCTCTTCTTGTTCTCCATTTTGGTTTCCTAAGAGTTAGGAGATGTGACTGCTGAGTCGCAGTCACTTGAGACTATTTCCCTTATGGGATAGTTCACATAGTTATATGTTGTTCTGTAAATTAAGTCTGCCTTCAGGGATCTTATTGTGAACTGGATGATTGTAAGTAAACTAGTTTTATGTTAAGTTTAATCAGATGGTCGTGTCTATTCTTTTAGGAGGGATATAAAAAGGGAAACCAGGAATCTTAAGTAGTGAGGCTTAGACGATCCAGCAACAAGCTAACCACTGTGTAATTTTAAAAGGGGGATGTTTGGAACTCTGCTAGGATATGGAACTTGCTAGTGCAAGTTAGGAAGGATATCATTAAATAATCTATCCTCTCCTGCCTCCCTAAACATCCCAACAAAAATAAGGTCAAGGAAAAAGCAAATAACACCCTCCATTTTCCCCCTCAACCCACGTCCCAATAGGCTAGCTACTCACTCATAATGTTGCTTGTGTTCAAGGCAATGGCCAAGGCGAGTTCATGAAACAGTTTGCTCTCATCTGTCTTATGCATCTCCACCTGGCACTGGGCCAACCACAGCAGAATCTGCACCAGCTCCAGCTGTGCATCATCTCCACCCTGTAGTTCAAAATACAACCTAACAGCCTGGAGAAAGTAGCATTCCGCTAGGTGGCTTGCCTGGCAAGAGACAGCCAGGCACCCAAAGTTGGATAAGGCAATGGCTTGGTTCCGCCTGTTGCCAGTCTCCTGGGCTTTGTTTAAGGCCCTCAGGTAGTTCTCTGCTGACTTCTGCACCTGCCCTTCTCCTTTAAGGGCAATGGCCAGAAGGTTGTGGACAACCCCGTCTTGCGTGATGCTGTCTGTCTGTCGCAGAGAACGCAGGAGGCGCAACATGATCTCCGATGCTTTTTCTGGCTGGCTGCTCAAAGCGTACACCCACCCCAAAGAAAGGGAGGACTCAAAAGCTTCCTCCTCGCCCATCACTTTGCCAAGGGCAACAGCCCTGTTCGAATAATGAACGGCTCCTTGTAACATGCCATGCTTGAGGTACATTTTGGATAACACTGCACAAAGGGCTCTCTCCGTGGGCACAGCTCCGTTTTCGTGGGAGAAGGCCAAGGCACAGCTCAGGTAGAGGCAAGCCAAAGCGGGGACGCTGCTTCTGCTTCTCCTGTCTTGGATCACCAGGAGCTTAGAAGCATTTGAAAGGATGAATCCAGCTCTCCAAATGGGTGTTGGTGCCCCTTTCACAGGGCTGGGAGGGGAAAGCCTGGCAGATGCCAAGGCAACATGCGGCAAGCACTTCTTCTCATAGAGGTAGGTCAGGAGAGGCATCAGGTCCAAAGAGGGTGCACTGGAGTCCTGGCTAGAGACACTGGAGCACAGGAACTGCAAGCGTTCGGAGAAAGGCAGGACTTCGTCATACTTGCCCAGCTGCAAGAAGAGCCTGACCACAAGAAGGCAGGCCCGAGCTTCCAAAGCAATGTTGCCCATGGCAATGGCTTCTCTCAGAATGTACATCATGACCTCAAGCTCATTCTCAGAACAGAAGCAGTGTCCAGGCAGGCAGGCCAGAAGGGCCACCCCTTTCCCAAGCACGGACAAGAACTTCTGCTTCATCTTCTGCTTCAGGTAAATGGCAGCAAGGTTCGTGTGCAGCGAGGCAAGCAGGGGCAGGTCGTCAAAACCTCTGTCAATAGCACTCATGGCTTCCTCAAAATACACTCGAGCCTGAGAGAACTTGGCCTTCTTGGTGCAGAGGCGGCCCAAGAGAAAGCATATCCGGATGTGAGCCCAAGCAAGGTGACCTCTCTTGGCCCAGTTCCTGGATGTCTCTAGGTATAGGACTAGCTCTTCCTCACTGGAGAAGCCATAGAAGGTGGAACTGAGGAAGGAAAAAGAGAGGTCATAGAGACTTTGGAAATGGGGCACATAGCCATCTTGGTTGAGGAAAGTCAATATAGGGTCAAAAACATCAGAGTCCTCCATGTGTCCAGCGTTCAGGTCAATAAAGAACTTGGGGTCATCAAGATCATCTGGTTCTGGCAGAAGTAAGTGTTCCAGGGTAGAAGGTGAAGAGTCACCAACAGGACTGGACTTTTCAGAACCACTAGGAGTGGGCAAGCTATTGCTAGCCTGCTTCCCCCAGCTCTCAAACATCCAGCCATCCTTAAGTCCCTGAACAACTGCATCTGAAAGAGAGAGATAAGCCACAAGGAAATGCTTCCCCTCACGAAGATACATTTCAGGAAAAACAGCACCCACTTTCCCCTTCATCCATACTCACCTGATGGCATTCTTGGGTACATTGCCACAGGTTCAAAGCCATCTGTGGGACCCAGAAAAAGGGTGGGAAATATGCAGAATGAGATCATGGGAAGCAAGAAGGCTGCACCTCAAATACTGCACTAAAACCAAAGGCTTTCACTGTCTTTGTCTCACAACACATTTAGCCTGAACTTGGGAGATGTGCTCGAAGGGGAGAAGACTGGCGTAGGAGGCACTCAGAAGCACTATGACCCCTTGGGTGAAAGGAGAGCTTGTTGTCCATTCTGAATTAGAAAAGTTAATTTTCCAAAAGGAAAATGCCGACAAAATCTGGTTTTAAATTTTGATAAAAGTAGTGCTATCTCTTTCATTTATATCGTTTGACCAGCTATTTAAGAATATGATGGCTCACTAATATCCAACAGTAATTGATGATGGTGATTCAAAACATGAATGGAGTGAACAGTTGGAGGGAAATGGCAAAAGTTGGGAATGACAGGTAGTACAGCATTTTGCTATTAGACAAAGGGCTGTATTAGGGAGGAGTGGATACTCACCAAGCCTGTACACAGAAGTGATGTCTGTTTGTGCCCATTCACCCAGAAGATTACTGTAATGCGTCTCATTGCCGTTGGATGGAACCTGCAGAATGGAAGCGACTTCTTCTTCGCTAAAAAATACTGGATTCTTTTGCCTGTGTTGGGGATAAAACATGGGTAACAGCAAGTCAGCGCTACACCCCATCCTAATCTCTCTCTTTGCCTCTGCTAAGAGACAAAAACTGGCGTCATTTCCAAGGAATGTGTAATATTTCCACTCCTTAACTATTCCTTGCAGTAAAGCTGAAGCTGAGCACCAAAGTTTTAGATGTGGTGAAGGCACTGCATTCCAAGGAAAATCTACTTTACCCAAAGCTAAGAGAGCAGATCTGAATATCGGGGGGGGGGGGGGAATCTCTAGCAAGATAACTGGGTTTTTCCCACCAACCTGCTGGAAACAAGTTGTGAGGCAAACAGTGAAGAAAAATGTTCTATATTATGTACAGCATGGCTAAATTGGGACTTGGGGAAACTAGGGTTCAAATTCTCACTCAGCACTGCAAGCAAGTTCACCCCTGACAGGAACCCACCATGGTATGCTTACAATGATTTTCCACTTCCTATTATTGACAAGTTGAATTGTTTTAAGGAATGGCAAAAGGTATTGTCTAAATTTATCTGGCAGGGGGGGAAACCCAGAATTAAGTTCAAGTTATTAACAGATGTGAAAGAGACAGGGAGTTTCTCCCTGCCAGATTTAAGGATTTACTTTGAAGCAGCAGCCTTTTGCTGGTTGAAAGAATGGTTTTTGCTGGAAGATACAGATGTTTTAGATTTGGAAGGTTCTGATAATGTATTTGGATGGCATGCATATTTATTGTATTAGAAGATAAAGGCTCACAGAGGATTTAAAAATCATATAATTAGAAAATCTTTGTACAATGTTTGAATAAGATATAATGATTTGTTAGAAAGGAAAACTCTCAGGTGGATATCACCATTGGAAACTAAGACCTATAAAAGGTTGAATATGAAAACCAAGTGGTTGAAGTATAATGATATTTTGATGGAAGTAGGGGACCAATTTAGATTAAAATTTTATAACCAGTTAAAAGATAAATTAGATGATTGGTTCCAGTACATCCAGAAAAATGAAGTGTTTAAAATGGATAAGGAAATTGGTTTTCAAACAGAAAAATCCAAACTGGAAATGGAATTATTAGATACAAAAACGAAAAACCTATCCAAGATGTATAATTTATTGCTGGAATGGCATACGAAAGAGGAACAAGTGAAATCTGTAATGACTGAATGGGCTAGGGATGTGGTGCACAATATTATGATGTTGGATTGGGAGAAATTGTGGAAAAAAGGAATTAAATTTAGAGCATGTAATGTATTAAGAGAAAATTTGATGAAAATGATGTACAGATAGTACTTAACACCAGTGAAGTTAGCAAAAATGTATCATACTCATGATAATAAATGCTGGAAATGTAAGGAAAAAGAAGGAACCTTTTACCACATGTGGTGGATGTGCCCCAAGGTAAAAGACTTCTGGGAAAGGATTTATAATGAACTGAAAAAAGTGTTGAAAAACACATTTATTAAGAAACCAGAAGCCTTTTTACTTGGTATAGTGGGGGGTGAAATCCCCAAAAAGGATGTTACTTTTTTTCTGTATGCCACAACAGCTGTGAGAATATTACTAGCAAAGAATTGGAAGAAACAAGATTTACCAACTATTGAAGAATGGCAGATGAAGATGATGGACTATATGGAACTTGCCAAACTGACTGGGAGACTCCGAGACCAGAGAGAAGAGACAGTGGAAGAAGATTGGAAGAAGTTTAAAGAATATCTGAAAAAATATGTTAATATTTAAATCTTAGAATAGCTTTGGAAGTGAATATAGGCTGTAGAGTTAGAAGTAGAAGATGGTGTATTTTAAAATAGTATTATTTGTAAGTGATAAAATGTGAAGATTTTGATGGTAAAAGTAAGTGTGATTAAAAAAAAAGGTTAAAAATTGTGATATATGTAAATTGCTAAAGATGAGGTAAAATGAAAATCAGATGGGGGCGGGACTTGGGGAAGCCCACCTAACAATGTTTAGAAAAAATAAGGCTAAAACAATAATTTGTTTGTATTGTTTGTTTTTTCTGTTTGTGTTGTTTAGTTGTGTTATAAAATGAATAAATTTTTTTGGGCGGGGCGGGGGGAATACAATGATTTTCCAAAACAGATTTTTTAAAAAACTAAAATGTTAAATGCTATTACTGCCAGCAGAACAGCACCTAAACTATGACAAATAGTATTTATTTTATTTTAAATTAGTTAATTATTGTATTAAGATAACTAATGAAACATTATTCCATCAGCAGTCTTATTTTGATGAAGAAAGGAGATGTAAAGTATTATCCTAGACATGGTTAATCAGAGGTAAGTCTGAGTATTGGTTTATGAGTTCAATGGGGATTATTCTGAGGTCATTGTGGGATTGCAGACTCAAGTTTCAATGTTATAGGCTGCAATCCTATACCTGAGAGTAACCCCCTTTGCATTGTTATGAAGCATGATATGTAGTTATGGCATTCATCATCCACTTACAGTAGAAGGAAAGTATCACTCCAAGGAAAAATCTTTCCAGAGCATCGCAAACTGAAAATCTTGAGGAAGATTAACAGTGACATCTTGTGGCCACCACAATTTCACACACAACTCTACATGCATACATACAAAGCTCAAATGTACCTGAATTGGTTAGGATATACGTTTCATTTGTCTTCTAACTTCCTGCATGAATAACATTTGTATGTGATATATGCAATAACTGTCAGGAGACAGCTTTTTTCAATAGGGGCACCACAGCTTTGGAATGACTTCCTTAAGGAAGCACACCTGACATCTACTTTGCAAGCTTTTAGGCTGAGGGTGAGTAGAAGGTAGGTTGAAATCTACTGGTAGTTCACTCCAGCAATTTGCACTAGATTTGCAGGGGTTTCCAGTTCCCAAAGGTTCAGCTGCAGCAGCAACCACAGATTGCTGTTTCCTACCTACATTAGGCTCCTGAAAGGAAGAAAGCTAAGCAAGAGAATGATGTTTAGTTCAGTTCTCATCGTGGAAAACAAATTCCTAGGCTCAGAACATGCTCAGAGGCATCCTGTTTGTTTGTTTTAATTCTAACTTTTGCTTGGACCATAGTTTTCAAACCCATTACTTGCAGTGATACAATACCTTAATCAGAGCACCTGGACAAATCCTGCCACTAGAAATCCAGCCTCATGCTGCCACACATGTGCTAGTTAAGCCTTCACTGAAAGTAGATGTCCCAGAGGTATTAACATTTATAGTCCTCTGACCAGAAGATAAACTACCTGAAATTGATTGAATTGACTTTAAAGTAGTGCTAATGACCAACTAAGCTTCCCCACCCTGTCATGTAAGCTGTCTGTTTTGCTCTGTCCCTTCAATTGGTGACTCTTTATTCTCATAAGCTTGCAAGTTGCACACACAGTAGTTCTGCAATTAAAGGCTACCATCTTTCTCTACTTTGTGCTTCTCTTCTATTACCCAAAATGCACCTGACACCAGATGATTGCTTGAGAATATCTTTGGGACCAAGACCAACTACTATACATTAGTGTAATATTCACCAAACCATAACCACTTTTGAAAGCCTTATCAAACCCTCTTTAAAAACCCAGGATTTCCTTAAACTACAGTTGCAATCCTATACTCACTTACCTCAGAGTAAGCCACACAGAAATCTACAGGACTTACTTCTGCATAGACGAAGGACTACCATGTACAGTGGTGCCTCGCAAGACGAAATTAATCCGTTCTGCGAGTCTCTTCGTCTTGCGGTTTTTTCGTCTTGCGAAGCACGGCTATTAGCGGCTTAGCGGCTATTAGCGGCTTAGCGGCTATTAACGGCTTAGTGGCTTAGCGGCTATTAACGGCTTAGCGGCTTTAAGAAAAAGGAAACAAACTCGCAAGAACTCGCAAGACGTTTCGTCTTGTGAAGCAAGCCCATAGGGAAATTCGTCTTGCGGAACGACTCAAAAAACGGAAAACCCTTTCGTCTAGCGAGTTTTTCGTCTTGCGAGGCATTCGTCTTGCGGGGCACCACTGTACACATTCCTTTTCTAGCTGTTCTTACATGTGACCGAAGTATTTTCTGAATATTCATCCACGGATCTGAATATAATTATCTACTTGCTCTGAAACAAGGTTGTTCCTACAATAAACCCATCAGCTATGAGCTGGAGTTCTATGATGCACCTCCACATGAACAGAAACTCCCCCATTCTTTTCTGTGTCAGGACAAGCACCATGCACAATGCACACAGAGAGCTTTCCCCAATGTTAAAGTGAAACGGGCATCATTTGGAATATTCTGTAAGCTTCAGAACTCACATGTGAACATCAGAGCTACTGGACTGGAGCAACTGCCCCCCCCCTGCTCTTCCCTCACTGCTGCCATATCAAGCCAATTTCTACATACTGAAGAATGTTATCAGTTAACTGAAATTCAGAGCAAGAGATAAGATACAAGTTGTGCCAACATTTCTTAATGACATGCCTCACAGAAACCTGAAAGAGGCATAAGCTGTGGTGCTTTTGTCTCAAAAGCCTATTTTCTCATCACCTGAAATTATATATTTTAAATCTCCAGTCTCATTTTTAAAAAGATCTGGTCCTCACAGATGCAAGCAAACACTTGAAGCTTAAATCAATTACTGCAGGGGACCATTTAGCATTTGGTGGGGGGAGAAATAATTACAAATAATTTCCAAAAGTAAAGAAAATGAACACCGGGTTCTTCAAGTCACTTTGTGGAGAAACAGGACGCAAGAACTCCAAAATATTTGAAAATGTGAACTGTCAAGCAAAAGTAAACAGATACTCTTATCTTTGTACTTCCTCTGTGTGTTGACAAGGCCCCTTGATTTGTTCCGAGATTAACTTCCCACCAGGTAGTGATCACCCATAGAACTGTACTGCTTGAGTTGCTTTGTGCCTGAGGCAAGGCATATCTTTAAACATCTCCATTTAACAAACTCATATTCAACTCACAAATAATTTCTGTTATGATTTTGATCACATGCCTTGAGATGTTTTCTTAAGCCAGAAAAAAAAAAAGGAATCTTGAGCAACAACATTTTTCCTGTCTCCTATCCACAGTCCCCTCACACCTCACCCTACACAGAAAAAGATCCCAAACTTGATTTCAGCATTTATGCAATAAACACCAATTGTGTCTTTATCCCAGGCCACAAGTGTGTTTTCCTCCCTCTGTGGGTATCTCACACTTACATTGGCTCACAAGTCTCAGGAAGCACACATCTGGTTTGGACAAAGCCTACTGCACCGCTGGTTGTGGATTTCCCTATAAACCACTGGAGGCCTGGAATGAGAAAGCCAGTGACCTCTATGGTGTCCCCTTTGCAGAAGCTCAGCTCGTCCCATCCTTTCCCTCTGTGATCTTCTGTAGTTGTGCACCTCCCTTGGCCTAAGAAATAAAACAAAAATGTCCCTCACTTCAGCAGGCTGAACAATTGAACCATTCTGTCTTACAAACAGTGACCAGTGGCAGAGAAGGGCATGCTTATGGGTTGAATGTGGAAACAAGGTCCCTTTGTGTCCCATAACATTTGTGTTTTGTCCTGTCACTTGGGTTTCACCTGAAACCACAGCTTATTCTTCTTAATACAGCCCCCCTTAAAATGAAGACAGAAGAAAGAAAGAAGCTTGGGTAAAATGTTTGCCTATTTCAGCTTTCAGCGTGAAAGCATTTGGAGTGAAGGTAGGGGATAATCACTACTATTGCGAATGTTCGCATTTTTTGTGTCAATTTGCCATCACCGCCCCCTCATCTGTTGCTTTGGCAGTACCCCAACCTGTTAGGTGCTTCCTTTTTCATAGTGTGGTTTCAGTCAATTAGGTACATCACATAGTAAATGTAATGATGTCATGACACTATTCTAGCCAATTAGATTTGATGTCACTGAGGGCAAATGAAGCTAATTTAGCTGGTGTTTCCGCTTCTAATTTAAACAAATGATTAAAAAATGCATACTATGTACTGTTCAAATCTAAGACATTCTAAAAATCCTGCAATCCCACCCCCACTTCAAATAAAGAGAGAAGTACACAATGGATCAGTCTTAAGTCAGTTATCTACAATTTACCCCCAATGAGATTGTCCTCACCAATCTGCAAAGAGCCAGGTCCGCTGATTTGTTTGGAGATACCACAGCTCATTGGATAGTTCTTCAGGAACCACCTATGGATATGAAGAGCTGTGAATGAACACTCTATTTCTTTCAGAGTACAGTCGTACCTTGGATCCCGAATGCCTTGGTATTCGGACATTTTGGCTCCTGAATGCCGCAAACTCAGAAGTGAGTGTTCCGGTTTGGGAACGTTCTTTGGAACCCAAACGTCCAACGGGGATTCCACGGCTTCTGGTTGGCTGCAGGAGCTTCCTGCAGCCAATCAGAAGCCACACTTTGGTTTCCGAACATTTTGGAAGTCGAATGGACTTCTGGAACGGATTCTGTTCGACTTCCAAGGTACGACTGTACTCTTTGCTTCACATTTGGGGGTGGGAGATGGTGCACACTAACCTTTCATAACATAATTGCCAATAAAACTGATCTCAGGATGTATTTACAGAGGGCAGGTATATTAATAGCAGCCCATTTTACCCTCAGAGATAAGAATGTTTTCATTCTGAGCGTTTTACTCTGAGTGAACCCAGGTTACGGCCACAATGACTCACAATGTCGGCCCTGTGTATAGATTGCCACAGCCACTCTACTTACTGGTAAAAAGGATGGGGCAATGGTTCCATGGCTGTGACAGGGACCAGGCCCCTTTGGTCATTCAACAGAGATGTCCCTTCCCATTTGGTGTCATGCCCAATGTCTTTCACATGGACAAGCTCATTTTTTGAGAGCTTCAAATCCTCCCCTTCTTCATCTGTCAGGACACCAACCACGACCCTGGCAAAGAAGTTTCCTGCAGATGAAAGAAGAATTGATAACGGTCAGGATTAGTGTCCTATAAACAGCTTGGAAGCCCTGCTCCATGTGTTACTACCTTCAAACTTCAGCTTGGAAACCACAGCAAGCCAGGCTTTTTCTGTCATGGTGTCACAATTGTGGAATTCCCACCTCAGAGACCTTGTTTGGTCCAATCTCTCTATTCCCTTGCACAAAATCGTGAGGACTTTTCTCTTTTGGAAGTCCAAGTTTAAAGCTATTTCAAACTGTAGTGCTTTATGGGCATTGGCTACATAGCTGCATTTGTGTTTTACTGGTTTTGTTTTCGTTGTACTGATTTGTAACTTGCCTTGGGTCTTACCCACCTTAGAGAAAGGTGGGTAACAAAAATAACAAGCATGATACCAGTGAAAATTCTGTGGGAAAATCCCTCTCCTGCAATGACCACTTATGAGGGCAAGAGGGTGCCCAGCAGTTCAGAACCATGCCTTATTCTGAAATCTCCTCTCTGAAGCAACCATTTGGAGGTTGGGATGTGGGCTCTGAGGCAGAAAATTGTTCAGTGCATTATCTCAGGATCCAGTTGCTCCCTGACCTCATGTTTGCGTCAAAAAGAATTTTGTGCAGAACGATTTTGGGCTCCTCGTGTTGACTAAATGAAGTGATTTGCTCACAGTGAACTTCCTTTCTGATAGTCTTTGGTCAGGGTTGGTGCCCCTGTTACATATGGAAAAGCTTGTCCTCATCTTCGTGGTGTTTTCGGAGATAGGTAAAGCCTTCCTGGTCACTACAACATTTTAAATAATTTAGATAATCTGGGTCTTTCTCAGTTTGTATATCTGTGTTTTAATTGGGGAGTAGGCAATTTTTTGGTAGCTTTTTAAATTTTACTTTTTCTGTAATATTATGGTTTTATATATTATCTCATGTATTATTTACTGTAAGCCACCCAGAGAACTTTACATTATAGGATCTAAGTAAATAGTACCTGTCTATTGTACACTTTTGCTGGGGACTATTCCTCTCACCAGAACCAGATTTTGGGGTTTGAGGCAGGTAGGACCCTTTTCCAAAATCTACCTACTGCACACCTGCATGGTCCCACTCTGGCCTTCTCTCTCCTGCCAATAGGAGTCCAGAGCAACCCACTTAAGGGCCCACCTTATGGATATGCAGTATTATGGATCCAAAACATACTCCTAAAGGGATAATTGGAGAGGAGCTGTAAGACTGGCTCCATATTTCTCACCTTCCTGAAGCAGAAGACCTAAGTACATGGTGGCCATGTGATCCTCGTCTAGAGCAACAGTTATCTCGGTGTCCTCCACCAGAGCACAGTTCAGCCAGTACTCAGGGGTGAAGAGAAGATGCTCCAAACAGCAGCCCACATAGCCTGATCCACAATAAAAAAGGAAGAATGCAAACGTATCATGTGGCTTCCAAGAGCAAACATGCAGCAGTGGTTTTCTCAGGTAGAACATTTGACACAGAATGTCGGTCATTCTTCAGGCCCACGCCACACAGCCTCAGGGCCAAACTGAAAACGTTCTATTTATTTCTCAAACTTACACAAGCCGTCCCTCAGCAGGAAGTTTCAGAAGTAGTTAAAAATCAAATAAGCCAATAATAAAACCACAAAACAAAAACTTTAAAGCACAATAAGCTTTTTTTAAAAATCCTATAACGTAGAAGAAGGGAATGTTTTTCTGTCAAGGGCCACACTCCATTAGGGATAATTTGTCAAAGGCTGCCTGTTGGGGTGGGGAGGGCCAAACCCAGTAGTGTCTGGGGCCACAGGCAAATGAAGTGTGTGCATCCTTTTCTCACTGCCACCCCCTTCTCTCTTGTTTGATAACCAATCAATTAGCTAATCAACAAATTAATTTCACTTTCCTATGCTTACAACATCATAATTTTGACCCATGTGCCCTTGTCTGATCCTCCCTTCCAGCTCTTCGCTATGCATGGATCTTTTACAACCTTTCTAGGGTTGAAACTGCCTCTTATATATGGAGATGAAACCACTTCAGCCTTGTTTCTTTCTCTTTCTCTCTTCCTTATAGTGTCTCATTTGACACTATGAGCCATGGTATCATCAGAGTGGATTTTATTCCACCCCAGCCTTGCCTTGTTGGAAAGGGAGAGCAGTGTGTGAAACTGGACCTTTTTCAATATAAATACTGAAAAGAGACACAGAGGCAGAAGCTTTCTTTCTCTCATATCTTAAGAGTCTAGTCCTGCCCACAGCAACTTATATAATGATCCCCACATCCCACCCTCAAGCTCTCCTGGTGGAAAGCCAGTCTCCCCTCAGTTCCATGTGATCTACCGAGTGCTAAGTATGTTGAAAACTTCCAGATTTCTTCAATGGTCCTGAAAGAGAGTAGAAAGCGACTGTCCTGTGCCTGGATACAAACCAGCCGGGCTGACAGCTCCTGCAAAAAAGGAAAGCAGGAAAGACCATGGGAATTTTGTTGTGAATGAACATGTGCTATATTCTGTGTTTCTTCTTCTTCTTCTTCTTCTTCTTCTTCTTCTTCTTCCAACAATGGCATTTGAAATTTGGATTGTAGATTAAGGGTCATGACTACAGAAAGACAATACAACCCTGCCCTACATAGAGGAAGATTAGCTATTGACATGAGCCAACAGTGTGATGAAGCAGTAAAAAGAAGTTGATGCTATTCTAGGCTGCATCAGCAGAAGTATAGTGTCACCTGGAATACTGTGTCCAGTTCTGGGCACCACAATTCAAGAAGGACCTTGACAAGCTGGAACATGTACAGAGGAGGGCAACCAAGATGATCAAGGGTCTGGAAACCAAGCCTATGAGGAACGGTTTAGGGAGCTGGGCATGTTTAGCCTGGAGAAGAGGTGACTGAGAGGAGATATGATCACCAACTTCAAATATATCAAGGGCTGTCACATGTAAGATAGAGCAAACTTGTTTTCTCCTGCTCTGGAGGATAGGACTCAAACCAATGGCTTCAAGTTACAAGAAAGGAGATTCCAACTAAATGTCACAAATAACTTTGTGACAGTAAGAACTGTTTGACAGTGGAACGGTCTCCCTCGGGAGGTTGTGGACTCTCCTTCCTTGAAGGTTTTAAAGCAGAAATTGGGTGTTTACTGCCCTGAGCTCTTTTGAATAAAGATGGTATTGCAAATAATGTGCAGAGGAATTTAAAAATGGTGGGGAATTTAAAAAATGGTGGGGATTTTTTAATTTAAAAAAAGCTTTCTGAGTTTTAAATAACTTTTCATTCAATTTTAATAATTTGAAAATGTGTGGCATTTATATAATCTCAATTTGGAAAATAAACAGCAAAATGAAATATTTCTGATTGAGATATTGTATTATTATAGTTATCAACAAGAACAACAACAAGAAGAAACCAAAAAAGGAGGAATAAAAGAAGGAAAGAAATAAGCATTAAAAAAATCCATGAATGAATGATAAAAAAACATACAACATTTCTTGGGTACATTTGTCAACCTTATTTGAGTGGCAAGTTTTGTAGTTATAAAAACGTGAAGTGTCCAGTCACTTTGGAGCAGGGATAGTTACACAGATGTGAATACGAAAATAATTATGAATATGACTATGAGTGGGATTGAAGGGATAAAGGGAATCTGTGGGCTCCAAACCTTTTCCTTTTATAGGATCATTCTAACCATACTGAGCTATATGTTGCCCAGGCGGGGGACTGATTGTTCTTTTTGCAACTACAGATCCAAGAGCTTTGTTGACAGCGTGATGGCAACACTCAATGCCGTCACATTGTCACCTAGTTACAGTGACAGGCGTGGCAGGGATAATAAAAGCTGGCAATTCACCTCTGACTGCTTTATGCAGGCATAAACAAAAGCATAGCTCAGTACTAGAGCAGATGTTTTGCTCACAGAAGATTCTAGGTGAAAATCCTTGGTATTTTCAATTTAAAAGATCTCAAACACCAGACATGGGAAGGACCCTTCAGTTTGAGATCATGGGAAAGCTGCTGATATCAGAGTAGACAATACTGAGCAAGATGGCACAATGGCCTGACTTGACATAGGACAGATTCCTAATTTGCTACCCATGGGGTGCTTAAGAAGTAACGGCAACAACTTTACCTTGAAAAGAGCACAGACATCTTTGTCGTCATTTTCTAAGGCCCACAGCTTCTTTCTGGCTGTCTCCTGCAGCTGGGGAATGGGACCCTGTCCCGAACGACTCTTGACAGAAAATGAGAGGGCAATCTCTTTAAAATTAAAAAGAGAGAGAAAGAGAGATAGGCAATTAAAGAAGATAAAACACTAAATACCTTTGTCCAGCATTCTGCATGGACCAGCTCTACTTTAGCCTAATTGTGAGCATTAGTGAGCATCAAGGGGGATTGAATGTTTCGATCAATCATCTATAGATATGTAATCAAAATCCCCATCACACCTTGTTAGATTCCACAGATTAGACTGGTGGGTTTACAGCTTTTGGAGACAAGCTCCCCATCTCAAATAGCAGGTGTCTTCAGGGGGAAAAACAGGAGTCAACTGAGATGCTCAGCACTGGAACAGCCAATGTGGCTTCAGGATAGGTCAGGAGAGGTGATCTGGCAGGGCTTACATTGCACTGTTCCTCCCGATCTTTCACTGGAACTCACTGGAACTAAAGCATTCAGTTTAATTCACTTGTGGAAGATGCTGTTTCTTGAAATGCTTCCTGGGTTGTAGGACAGGCAAGTCAACTCAACTCACAGCAACAACATGTTTGCCAGGTCCAGTCTAACATACTCTGAATGGCAAAGGGTCACCTTGGCTATGTTCCCCAAGAGAATCACTATCCGTCTTGTTGAGACCAGCCAGACTTCTTTGTTACTCCATCTTTCTACAAAAACCGCCACCAGTTAAAGTGCCAGCAACTAAAGTAAGTGGTTTTACCCTCACTGAAATCCTGAATTCCAAAAGAGTGCCTGGCAGCTTCTGGCTCACCTTCCCCATTCATAAATACCCCACATCAGGATTCATGCAGCATTTTCAATGAATATTCATTTAGATGTTGTTGCAAAAAATAATAATTTACACCCAATTCATAATAAGTTATCACATGGGAATTGGTGGTTATCTGAGGATATGTCTGAGAGTGGAACCTTTGTGTTGTTTTTGTTATAATTACAGTAAGTGAAATGTGTCCCTTTAAACCTAAATGGAATTATGCACCATCTATGGATGCTGTTAGCCCCTGGAAAGATGTTGGGTGGTACAGGGCAGACAATAGAGCATCACTGTCCCATTCATACTGTCTTCTGCATTGACACCTGGAATTACAGACACTGGCCTGCTATAAACTCTGTTCCCTTTCCTTCTTAATCTTCTGCATTGCTAATAAGTCATGCAATGCAAACTACGCCATTATCTCCTCCAGAGAAATGATCTCGAGGGCTGGCTCATTAGTTACAGGTGTTAAAAACAAAAGGCAGCAATTAGACAAACACTTACCATTTGGGAACCCTTCCCCTACAGCCAGTGACACGGACTCAGTTTCCAGAGTGCCCTCTCCTATTTGTGCAGACTGACTTCCTGGATCCAGTTCCCTGGGGTTACCTGACAAGTCACCATGTAGGCAGAAGGACCACTGTCAACTTTTTTAGAAGAGGGAAAGCAAGGGCATAATACAGGAGGCCACCAACCTTTCTGGGCTTGTGGGCATATTTGGAATGTTGAAAGAGTGTTGTGGGTACCTTCCCCTGTGGCTGATTCTCTCCCCGGGGCCACATCACCACCCACCGTGACAGACAGACAGACAGGAAACAAGCTCAAGTGTATACACACACACACACACACACACACACACACACACACTTTGTTTTTCCAGGAGAGCAGGGTAAAAGTCAGATCCAGTAGAATTAAAACATATCATTGAATCTGCATTATTTTACATGAGATCACTAAAAAGACACATCAAATTAAAGTACTCCATCACTGTACATGATAAAAATAAATCATACATCTGTTGCTTGCCATTTACCCAAGGCATGGATTCCTATTGAGTTTCATGACTTTAGCACAGAATGACAACAAAACCACCAGCAAACTGCAGAAAACATCTGTGTGCCCAGAGGTAAACTTCTAGTCAATGGTAGTTTTGAAGGGATACTTGTGCCTCAGATCCATGATTTTGCACCACAGCAGAACAAGAAAGCACCAGATTCTTACACTTCAGTCAATGGAGGTAGATATGATCTGTGATTTGATGGGGAGGGGGAAGACTGTGGAAAAAATGTGCAATTCCAAAAGGAAAGTGTATATCTTCTCCCTTCCCCCACCCCACCTGACCCCTTTCTCCTACTTGGCCGTTCCATTTTCTTCCTCCACCTCCCAGATCTCTCTCCCTTCCCTCCTACCCTCTCAGTTCCTCTGCTTTCTGATCAGGAGCGATTTGAGTCATGAAAAGTGATGCCCTCCTTTTTACTCTCCCAACTTCCTCCTTCAGAGCTGGGAACTTTTCAAGTAACCACTGTCACCACCTCATGACAAGAGGGGAGGCTTGTTGGGCATGAAGGGAAGTCCTCAAGTGCACCATTGGGCTCATGTGACCACATCTGGTAAACTACAGGCATCGTGAAAGGGGATATAGCAATATATAATACCCCAGGGACTTCAGTATGAGTGGCAGCAGTTTTTCTGCAGTCCCAAACAGAAGTCTTCCCAAGCCTTGCTACTTAAGACTGAAGTGAAGGCCCAAGACAGGGTTTGATCATAATGGGAGCTGCGCACAGGTGGGCTGTAGCGAGCGAGCGAGCTACCACCATTCCTGTGGAGCCTCCTTTTATTGAGACAAATATGCAAGCCAGGCAAATACTTTTTGGGCTGTGACCTTTACACATCTTCTGTCCCGAAATCGTGGTGTGGTACAAAGCTATTTTGGCACCTGTTCCACAGCGTCATTTTCCCCTTGCACAGTGTATGACGTAGGAGACAAAAGGTCTCAGGGAAAAACTTACAGACAGGACACCGCTGACTCTGAGACCACAAAAGCTCAGACATGGGTGGAACGATGTACAGACAGCTGTGGCTTGTCTGGGGGGGGGGTTTCCCTGCACCCCAAGGTCACGCGTGCAGGCCGACCGTGGCTGCCTGCTGGTGGGGAAGTGTGCTCCCTCCGGACCCCACTCCCCACTCCGCAATATCCCTACAAAGACCTTTCCAGTTGGAGGGTGGACCTAAATTTCACACAACCCAAACATTTCCTGTCCTCTGCTAGTGTCTTCCCCGAATGGGAAATCTCTCACCAAAGGACCACCACCATTTCCTTTTGTTCCTGGCACTGACTCAAACAGGAGCAGCCCATGTGGTAGGGAAGAGTCACAGAGCCACCCTCAAAACAGCATCGCTATGGCCACTTACCTGAACAGGGTGGTGTCAAGGCTGGGACTGCAAGACTGGTGGCAGTGGTCCTGCCAGTGCATCCTTGTGGGCTTGACCTCACCACCCCGCAGTGCTTTTCACAGAAGTAACAGTGACGCAGGCTCCTCAGCTCCACCCTACCAGGTGTGTTGCTACTGGACTCAGAGGCTCCAGCCCTGACTTACATATCTTTTCTGCTCATGAATTTGACAGTCACAGATCTGGTACATCCAGATGGATGTCAGAAAGGAAGGACTACTACTGATGGGCCAGGCTATCTGGTCTGAGTGGGGAGGAAACAGTTCCCACAGAATATTTTTAAAAACAGAATATATTGGTGATCGCTTAGCAGGGGCTGGGATGCTGCACCCTTAGATTGGACTGTTGTAATGCTCTGGGGGATAAACGATGTGTTATTTTAACTGGCTTTAAAACACACACACACACACACACACACACACACACAAAGAATGGCCACCTTGAATGTTCTGGAGATGGAGTGGATGGAGGGCTGTGAATTATTGAAATTAAGAAAGAACTTGGACCTGTTAAAAGGAAAGTTAAAAACTTGTTAAGAGGCCACACATGTAACCCACAATGTATTTGAAAGCTGCCTCCAGAGTTCCTCCCTTCCTGTGTGTTGGAGAATGAGTGGACTTTTTTCGTTACCACTAATGGAGCACTGATGGTTTCTGTATCTGCAACTGTGAGGCTTCCCAGGGCAGATTTCCTTCTCTGCCTGAGGAGTTCCACTCTGTCCTATTATCCCTGGGATGTCCTTCCATTGAGTACAGGACTGCAACCATAAATTATTATTTTTAACATTTATTTATTTATGTACTGCCTGTTCCACAAAGTCCATTAAATATGTGTTTTGAGACCATTAAAAAACCCTGATTCATAGAATTGTACAGCTGAAAGGGAGCACAAGGCTCACCTAATCCAACCCCCTAAAATGCAGGAATCTTTTTCCCAATGTGGGGTTTGAACCCACAACCCTGAGATTAAGAGTCACATGCTCAAGGTCATGGGTTCGAACATCAACCCGGCGCTGGCTGGAGTTGATTGGAGTTGTAGTCCAAAGGGTACCAGGATGACAGAGGCTGGTTTAGGCAATCTTTTGGAAGCTGGATAGGCTATGAGCACAAAAGATGGCCCCATGTGGAACTGCTAAGAGAGAGTGGTGATGTTTGCTGCTGCTATTTTTATTTGTTTTAATGGCTGCTTGCTTGTTTTTGTTTTTCTTTCATCTTTTACGACAGGCTCCTTGTAAGGCACCTTGAGCAAAGAACAGAGGTGGGGATTAAAATGTTTTCAATAAATGAAAAGATAGGCCACATTTGGAAGAGTAAGCATGATGCCAATGCAAGAGCGAGAGAATGATTCCTGCGATCTTTGCTTATAACTACAAGCACCACAGAAATGTTTCTATAACAGCAGATCACTATCTCAGTAGCCTCCCTGAACCTCCATGGATTCCTGTTCTTGCTTTGAGCAGCAACTGGGATTTTGTAGAAACCAACCCTGTGGGGGAAAGAGCCGCCTAGTTACTCCTTGGAGGAAGAGAGTTGATTTGCATAAGTGTTTGCTCATCAATTTTCTGGGGGAAATGGAGATTTCCTATAACTGCTGCAATCTGAAAAATCTAGCCAGGCTCATTCAACTCCACACATCATTACACATAGTCATAAAACTCCTAGAATCAGGAAATTTAGGCAGCAATTAAGTTAATGATGCTGGAGGCTCATGTGTTTTTTTTTTAAAAAAAACCCAAAGCCAGCAAGCTCTTCCCAAGCTGCGGAAGCCTAATAGGAGTTTAAAACCTGGGTCTTGTCAGTGGTTAGACAGGACTTGATCTGTGTGCCAGGAAATATGGGCTGCAAACAATGGCATGTTTTTATACGTAGGCTCACTAAACAGTCCCGCTCCATTGTCAGCTTTGCTAGTCTCTAAAACAAACTGTGAATTGATTTTATGTGGAACTGTAAACCATATTACAGCTACAAGCAGGGGAAATATAGCTCTGTAGATGCTCATTTAGCAGGCTTTTTGCTTTGCTTTGGAGAGTTTCAGAGCAGAGCCATCATGTCTGCTTTTGACAGCTGGGTAAAAACAGCATGGGAGATTTGCCCAAGCAACTGAAATGGCCCAATGGCAGAGCGTGAAACCGGTAAATTATTATAGCTAGCAAGCTACATCCTACCAGTGCCAGTTCAGTTACTTAACCTGCCATCCCCATGCCACCGTCTAGAAAAAGGCCTGGATGCATCAAAGATAAAATGACAAGCCACACTGAACTGCCTAGGACATTCCATGTCAATATGCACATTTGTTCAATCATAAGTTGATTCTGCCCCCTTTCCACGATAATCTGTGATTTAATAATAATAATAATTCATATTTAAATACAGTGGTACCTTGTGTTACATGCGTAATCCGTTCCGGAAGTCTGTTCGTAACATGAGGCACGCTTTCTCTAATGGTGCCTCCCGCTGCTGCTGCCCTGCCAGAGCGCTATTTCCGCTCGCATCCTGGGGCAAAGGTCACAACAAGGGGCATCAATTTCTGGGTTAGCGGAGCGCGTAACCCGCAGCATTCATAAGAGGGACGGTACATAACGCGAGGTAGCACTGTACATGTTTTATATGACAACACTATTTAAACAATATTTTATCTCAGTATTTTAAGGTAAATGCATTTTACCTTAAAATATGGTGTTCGTTTGTTTACGCATTTTGGTACTTTTTTGAGTCAATGTTTATATTGCAAGGGACGTGGGTGGCGCTGTGGGTTAAACCACAGAGCCTAGGACTTGCCGATCGGCGGTTCGAATCCCCGCGACGGGGTGAGCTCCCGTTGCTCAGTCGCAGCTCCTGCCAACCTAGCAGTTTGAAAGCATGTCAAAGTGCAAGTAGATAAATAGGCACCGCTCTGGTGGGAAGGTAAACGGCGTTTCCGTGCGCTGCTCTGGTTCGCCAGAAGTGGCTTAGTCATGCTGGCCACATGACCCGGAACCTGTACGCCGGCTCCCTCGGCCAATAAAGCGAGATGAGCGCCGCAACCCCAGAGTCGGTCACGACTGGACCTAATGATCAGGGGTCCCTTTACCTTTACTTATATTGCAAAGTTCTAAGAAGTACAAAATCCAAAGGATAAGTATTAGGGCCTTTCTGCACTTATCCTTTATAGTGGTATAGTTGCTGGGGGGTTTTCGGATTTTTTGTTATGCTGCCGCATGGCAGTTTCCTTATTCAGCTAGTATTTTGGAACAGCATAATTAAAGCTTTTTCTTCTAATGCAAAACCCAGCTTTTCTGAAAGAACTGGATTGGCTCCTATGAAACTGTAAATGGCAAGTGCCGAAGGGCCTTATACAGGATGAGTGAATTAGGTCCCTTCGCTTAAAAAGGCAGAATGGATGGAATACTGCTCTATGTCTACAACAGAGTTCATGTGAGGAGTGTAAACCACATCTGTCAGGGTTTCACCAACATAACACCAGCATTTCCCACAACAAACCAGGCTTTGCTGCTGTAGGCAGGAGAATACATACTGGAAAGCTGTGGCAAATCAGGACTCCCAGAACACACCCACAGATATTTAAGGATGTGGATCTGCCTTTCACACTTGATGTGCTTACTCTGGAAAATGCTAGGGTAAAGCTGGTATAGCCAGAGTGAAACAAATTTTCCATGTAAACTATGAAATGGCTCTAAAATGCAATTTAACACAGGGCCATAGCATTTCTCATCATTCTAACACACAACAGGCATCAATAAACACAGGCCAGAGTTACATACATAGACATAGCCATGAAACAGAACACATCTAGTGCTAGTATATATGTCCCCATGTGCCTTAGCCATTCTCAAAACATAACCAGGCCACCTCTGAGCTAGTCCTTCAGACTCATTTTACAGGAAAGTACTGCTGAGGCAGTCCAGGCTTCACTGCAATACAGAAGTACACACACACACACACACACACACACACACACACTTCTGGAAGGAAGAAGAAAGTGTTGTTGTTGTTTCAACAGTACCTGATGCCATCTTCCCCTCTTTGAACCATCTTTCTGGGGGTTCAGCTGTGTACTGTTGCAGACTGGACCAACTGGCCAGGCACACAGGTTGATCAGATGAACAAGAGGATGCCTCTTCACCTGGGGAACACATGCAGCCAGAGATGAGATGAGATGCAGGATAAAAAGATATTGCTGATTGCAGAGCTCCCCAAGAGTCTTACTCCCATGCACCCAAGATGACGACAGCAAATAAATTAACCCTTTGCCGTCACAATGGATAGGACCTTTCCTCTCCCTTTCTCGTGCAACATTTGCAATAGGGCTGGCTGAAGCAATTTCTCTTAACCACAATTTCTTAGCTATTTATTTTAGTCCCAACAGTCTTTTAAAGGAAGAACTACTTCTGCTTAGACAGATGAACCGAAACTACTTTCACAGTTAGTATCAACTATCAGGAGTCAGTCACACTGCAATCAAAACAAGATTTTGTGACAGCTTCTTGTGAGAATCCCAGAGCATTGTGCTCTCTGTTCATTGCTTGAGTATACTACCAATTAAAACTGGCAGTGACTGTGGAGGAAAGATGGAGGGAGTAGATTCTACTGCTTCAGACTGACATCATCAGCCTTAGGGCAGGTTCACACAATCCTGCGCCACTCTGGTACTTTACACTTGATAACCCTTGTGCTTGATGATTTGCAGCTGGTTGTATGAGTGGACTCTACCGTAAAAAGTATATTTTTGAGGTGACACAGAAGTTCCATCAGTGGGCGCTGGTTCATTACGGCAAATGGGGCACTGTGCCCCACCAGCCTCAGTCCGCCTTCAGTCAGCTGCTGCCTGCCTGCCTGCCTGCCTTCTTCCTTACATCCAAGGCTAGGGGTTGGTTCTATGCACTTGTGCCATAGATACCTGCCACATGAACCCAGGCATCTGATGCTCTATTGAGTGGCATCAGAAAAAGCCAAAGCTCACGAGCTTGCTTGCTTCTGTTGTACTTATTTGTATGGTTTTAATTGAGATAATAGATAGTTTTATTTCTAATTGTTTTTAATGGCTTTCCCCCTATGTTTTCAGCAGTTCTCATTTTTATATGACAGCTGTCTTGAGTTTCATCAAGTGAAAAGTTGGGGTATAAATGAAATAATAATAATAATAATAATAATAATAATAATAATAATAATAAAGGCAGGGTCAGAAGTGGCTCCAAGTACTGTAGTCACTGAGTGATGAATGTGGACATGTGAACCAGTCTTAATTTGAACCATAATCTAATCTAAACCTTTCCCTGTTGCTTAAGGGGAAACAGAAGACAGAAGAAGGCACACTGAATTGTACCTGCAACTGAATTCCATTCAAAATCACAAATTAAAATAATTAACTCATACACCATGCTCCATCCAATACAGAAAACATTACATAGGGATTAAAAAAATATGGTGGGGCATATCCAGTGCTGTTCTACCAGTGTAGCAGATTTCTGCTTAAGCAACAGCATTTTCCCATCCTCTCCCTTTCAGCCCTGCATGCACCCTCAAAATCTGCTCCAGGGGATTGGAGGAACCCTTCCCCCCCCCTCCACAAAGAGCAGATTTTGAAGACACAGAGGGAGAGCAGGGGCAAGTCCAGTTGCACAAGTGGAACTCTGCACACACGGTGTTGGGTACAAGCCAGTATCTTTATTGTTCTCCAATCAGGACTGTTAATTATCTTACTCACATATTCAGCTTTTATTAAAGCTAGGCCAAAAATCACTGCCCAAGGATTTTTCAGTATATCACTGTGAACCTCCCTTAGTCAAGTGGAGGACGGAAATAAGTTTACCCACATCAAGACACAACCATGACAGCCTAGATAACAGCCATGAAAACAAGAAAATCTGTGTTGGGAATGATGTAGAAGAGGTAAATAAAATGGCACATATCATAATGTCATTGTATAAACCTACAGGGTAACTGCAAATGGAATACTGTATGTGGTTTGTTCATCCCATATAAATAAGGATATTGCAGAGTAGAGCTGTAGGAAAGATGCAGCCAATGGTTAATGAAAACAACCAGAAGAACATCATCTTCATGGAGAAAAGATCAGGAAGTTGGCATTTTTTCATTTGGACAAAATGTGGGCTAAAGCAAGGGAGGAGCATATTAAGAGGTTTACAGAAGTGTGCCTGCTGTAGAGAGAGAGACAGGGAAACCCAAAAATACCTCTCATGCATCATCCTCGACCACCATTTCTTCTCACAATACAACAAAACTAGATTCTTCTGCTTGTGAGTTGTTGGCCATAAAAGGAATTAAATCAGATAGAGAGATAAATGATAGATAGATAGATATTAGAATGCAGTAGTTATCTGCAAACTAGATTATGATCTGTTGATGGCTGGAAGTAGGAAAGATGGAATTGGAGCATGCAACATATTTTCCATGACGGAAGCTGTAAGAATCCAGTACTGCAGACATAAACTGAATTAACAACACAATTCTAATCATGCCTGCTCAAAAGTAAATCCTCTTGAACTCACTGAGGGTTTACTCCCAGGTAATTTTGATTAGGCTTGCAGCCTAGATACACCATCCTGTTTATAGGGTGCTTCTACCCCCTCAACCACTGGTGATAGTGCCGAGAGCAAAGCAGCGGTTGCTAGGTTGACAGACCCTGTTCGATCTTATTCTGCTGTGCTGATTGACGGCTCCTGCAGAGTTATACCACAGAAGGCTAAAGGGCAAATACAGAAGGAGGCTGTGAGCAACTCACCTGTGGACCACAGTGAAAATTTCCTCTGGAAAGGGGCACCAAAGCAGCAGCCCATGTGTCCACCAGCCCATGCAGCCCCAAGGCCAGCAGTTTATCCTTCCTAGCAGACCCGGGACAAGACCAATGCAATCCACCACATCAAAAGTACTCTTGTTAAATCATTGGAGAAAAAGCCTCTCAATGCACAATGCATCTTTTGATGGCCGCCCTGCATTTGGAAGGTGGGAGGTGTGGCTGGGCATGTGTCCCAAGAGGCAGCACCGAGCCAGCCTCAACTCTCCCCTGCTCCACTAGTTTGTCGCCCCTCCATGCCGCTTCAGATTGTATCTCAAATGCCAGGCAGTACATTCCTGGCATTCTGAGCTTTGGTGGGTGGTGAAGAAAAATCCAGATGTCTCTTGAAAGGCTGGTTTGGGTCCTCCTTAAAGACAGGCATGAAAAGCCCACACATCTGCATGGCATAATTTGTGAGTTATGCAAATGAGGTGCACTACTTATGCAAATCAAATCCTCTGCAAATCTTAACTGATATAATTTTCAGGAGGTGATCTGCTCCTGCTGTTTAAAGGAAAACAGCAGGCCAAGAGCTGCAACAGAAACTGATCATCCTAAATCTTTTCACTGTCAGAGTTTTTCTCATTAGTGCTGCTACAACCTGTGCTCCATTTTCTCTTCTCTAGGAACCAAAATACATAATCCAAGCTATTGTTCCCCATGACACTGTATCACAAACCCGCTTGTTTCAATCAATAGGAGAATGAGAATTTTACATTGAAAAGGGTAGAATTCAAAATGTTGAACTCAGACCAGACCTGTTGAAATCAATCAACTTAACTTAACTGTGTTCATTAATTTCAGTGGCTCTGCTCCAAGTAAAACTTTTATCATTGCTATCATTTATACCCCGATTTTGATGACTGGCAGAATCCGAGACCAGGGAGAAGAGTCGGTGAAAGAAGACTGGAAGAAATTTAAAGACTATTTACAGAAATATTGTAAAATTAATGAATCTTAGAAGGATGTTGGATAGAAACTAAGTGGTTTCCAGCTGTAATGCTTTAAGAGATACGAAAAAAGGTTTACAAATGGGTAAAAGCTTAATGGTAAGGATTTGCTGAACTAACAAACTGAACTGGATCCGGGGAATCCAGTGTAAGGAAGATATGTTATGGAAAGTTAACGTGTTTTTTTTAACTGTTTTTATCTTGTATGTTTTTCTTTATTTTTCTTTTTTTTTGTTATATCTTAAAAACTTTATTCTTTTTTCTGTATTTTGTATTTTATTTTATTTTTATTTCTGCTTTGTATTCTTTGAAGCTTCAATAAATATCACTAAACAAATAAGCAGATCTTTGATGGACAGCTGATGTCCAAGCCAGACTATCAGCCTAAATTTTGGGGTTGTCAATTAAAAATGCCAACAAAGTGATTATTTAATTTGCAAGCACACAGCATTGTAAACATGACATTATTTCTAATGACAGAGAAATCAACCATGTATTTCAGATCCAAATAAAAAAAGACATAAAATGCTCGCACTTGGAAGATAATATGTTAAGCACAGTGCAAATAAAATTATGAATACTTTTTTTTCAAAAAAAAAAAATATTATACCCCGATTTTGAATGTATCATATACACAAAGCAGCATATAATAAAAGCAATACAGTGATACCTCGGGTTAAGTCCTTAATTCGTTCCAGAGGTCCGTTCTTAACCTGAAACTGTTCTTAACCTGAAGCACCACTTTAGCTAATGGGGCCTCCTGCTGCCGCCGCACCGCCGGAGCATGATTTCTGTTCTCATCCTGAAGCAAAGTTCTTAACCCGAGGTACTATTTCTGGGTTAGCGCGTATGTAACCCAAGGTACCACTGTATAAAACAGCATAGCTCATGCAGCATAAATGAAGTGATGGAAAGAGGTGGATAGAAACCAGTCTCAAAAGGGCACTTTTACTGAAAATAACAAGAGTGGCAGGGACAAGTGTGTCCCTGTTTGGAGGCTCCTCCTGAACTTGGCTTCTACAATAAAAAAGACTCCATCCTTCATGAGCACCCACTGTATATCCAGCAACAAGAGCCTCTTTTGTAGAGTTCTTGTGTAGACTTAGATGAAATGGGACAGTTCTTTACAAATCTCAGTCCCTGCCCACTTGGAACTCAATGCAGGTGGTAGATGATGGGTGAAAAAGGTCCATTCTCCTGGCTCCAGGTAACACCCTGGCAGCTACATTCTCAGGAAACCAAAGCTACCTGACTGTCTTCAAGGTCAGCCCCACACAAAGTGCATGACACACTAGCCCAACTTGGTGGAGAAGAGGACATGAATCACGGGAGCCAGATGTGACTTATCCAGTAATGGGTGCAGTTGGCATAATAGGTGAAATTGGTCAAAGTCACCACTGTCTACCTACGCCTGGACAACTGGGAGTGGTGGCTCCTGCAGCATCCCCATGTGGCAGATCTGTGGATTCAAGGGGACTGCAATCCCATCCAGAATAAGCTGCACACCTCTACCTGAATGGTCAGGTCCTCCTCTTGGGAGCGGGTGGTGCTGTGGTCTAAACCACTGAGCCTCTTGGGCTTGCTCATCAGAAGGTTGGCAGTTCGAATCCGTGCAATAGGATGAGCTCCCTTGGCTCTGGCCCAGCTCCTGCCAACCTAGCAGTTCCAAAGCATACCAGTGTGAGTAGATAAATAGGTACCGCTGTGGCGGGAAGGTAAACGGTGTTTCTGTGCACTCAGCGGCTTCTGTCACAGTGTTCTGTTGCACCAGAAGTGGTGTAGTCATGCTGGCCACATGACCCGGAAAGCTGTCTATGGACAAACGCCGGCTCCCTTGGCCTGAAAGTGAGATGAGCGCCGCAACCCCATAGTCGCCTTTGACTGGGCTTAACCACCCAGGGGACCTTTGCCTTTTACCTTTACCTCAGGTCCTCCCCAGTGGAATGCATTGTTTCTTACTGGACATTTTATAACCCTTAGCACCACTGTTTATAAGCAAGCACCTATCCTTATAAAGCAGGAATGGGGATCCTCAGGCTGGGGGAGGGGGGAATATGGCCCTCCAGGTGTGGCTATGTGGCCCATAAAACTCTCTCCATGCCACACACCCAAGCGCCACCTCCCCTTACAGGCAGCCATCCAAGTGCCACATACCAGTGGTGGGTGGGGACACAGGCCAAAGTAGACTGAGCAAAAAATGTACCTTGGAACAGCACTATTATTATTAACATTAATAATTAAATTTGTATACCGCCATATGCCCGTAAATCTCAGGGCGGTTCACAACATAAAATCACAATATATAAAAAATAAAAACACTAAATACATGATAAAAACAAAGACAACCCAATCATGCCCCTCTTTCACAATGCATTTTAAAAGGGCATTGAATGTCAATCAACCAAAGGCCTGGTCAAAGAGGGTCTGCTTGCACCTCCCTCTGTCTTCCACTCAGCCAAGCAAGAGGCATTATCAGAATTCAAGGGCATATTCCAGTCAGGCATGAAGCAAGGCCAGGGAGGGATGTGGCCTGAGGGGAATTCTGAGGGCCAGACAGAGATGTCTGAAGGGCCACATCTGACCCCCAAGCCTGAGGTTCCCCATCTCAGGAAGATAAAACATCCTCAAAATCAACTTGAACTTGGGATAGTGTTCTGCCGCCTTTCCTGTCACAACTGAATGCTTATCAGTTATCAGAAGATCTATCTATTTCATGCAAAACCCTCATTCACGTCAGTGGAGTTCAAGGCATTCAGCCATGGGCTAAAGATAAGGGAATCAAACACACTCAATGGAAAAACAGAAAGTAAAAAAAAATAAAAGGAAGAGTGGGGAAGCTGCACTCTCTGCACTGACCCTCTCACCCTTCTTCATTTATAATACCGGATCCATTCATGATGACCTCTCTCAACTCCTGTCCCCATCACTACCGGATGAAAACAAAACAGCTGTTTACATTTTCACCTCAACGAAACTATTGGCCCTCTTATGCAAAAAGCATTCATGGCTTTAGATTTACACGCAGCAGCAGGTAATTCAACAAACCACAGTCATATGCCTCCTCACACAATAATAATACAATGGTACCTCGGGTTAAGAACTTAATTCGTTCTGGAGGTCCGTTCTTAACCTGAAACTGTTCTTAACGTGAGACACCACTTTAGCTAATGGAGCCTCCCGCTGCCGCCGTGCAATTTCTGTTCTCATCCTGAAGCAAAGTTCTTAACCTTAGGTACTATTTCTGGGTTAGCGGAGTCTGTAACCTGAAGCGTCTGTAACCTGAAGCATTTATAACCTGAAGTACCACTGTAATAAAAATCACTCACCAACATGAGGGGAAGAGGGGTCACTGCTAGGCCTTGGCTTTCCAATTTCTAGAGTCATGAATATGCACAGACTATCTCCATCACACACATATTTTTTACATCTTCCCCACAGCTGCAGGAGGGCTGGATTTTTGCTCCTCCCTAGTGAAGCAAGGTAGATTACCCATCCCTATCTAATATACAGCATCCTGGATGCAATTGTGTGGATAAACACAGTATTGCTAGCCAAAAAATGGGGGGGGGGAGTAGGGCATGGAGTACCCAGAATTGTGGGTGGTGATTAGGTACAGCCTCCTCTTTACCCTCCCAAATCATCACAAATATGATCCCAATGTGTAGGTATTTGTATTGGAAATAGGTAGCTGTCCAAATACATCCTCCAGAGGGGGCGGGGACCTTTATTTAACATAAAATTATCTTTTCCACTGTATATTTTTATTTATTTATTTATTTATTTATTTATTCACTCATTCATTCATATAAAATTTCTATAACACCCTTCATCCAAAGATCGCAGGATATGCTAGGTTAATTGGATTCCGTGCTGGAAGCCTGATAGGAAGCAAAGCCATGGCCATATAATAAACTGGCCAGGTCTTCTTGCTGTTTTATATTAAAGTTCTTTGCTGCAGTTGTGAACACTGGAAACTTAAGGGCTATTTGTTATATTCCTCTTCTCTATTTGCAAAAGGTAGGAAAGGTAAAGAGAAACTGCAAAGAAACGGTAACATCCAATCAGACTCAAAAGTTTGGCAAATAAAGCCAGATTTGGGCAAGCAGTTATAGGATAAAAAAGTAAAGGGTAAAGGGACCCCTGACCATTAGGTCCGGTTGTGGCCGACTCTGGGGTTGCGGCGCTCATCTCGCTTTATTGACCGAGGGAGCCAGCGTACAGCCTCCGAGTCATGTGGCTAGCATGACTAAGCCGCTTCTGGTGAACCAGAGCAGCACAAAGAATTGCCGTTTACCTTCCTGCCGGAGCGGTACCTATTTATCTACTTGCACTGGTGTGCTTTTGAACTGCTAGGTTGGCAGGAGCAGGGACCGAGCAATGGGAGCTCACCCCATCACGGGGATTTGAACCACCGACCTTCTGATCGGCAAGTCCTAGGCTCTGTGGTTTAACCCACAGCACCACCCGCGTCCCTTAGTTATAGGGTAAAGAGGTGCAATTCATTAAGGGTCTGGAGCTCTTACTGCTCAATTCAAGGGTCAGAGTGCCTGGAATGAGAGAAAGGCATGACTCCCATGCAACATGGCAACTCTTCTTAGTGACAAACAGATCCTCTTTTCCTACCACGCATTTAGCAATATCTCAACTTCCTTCAACAAGTTTGCATAGCTCCAGTAGCTCATATGATTCAACGTTTCAATTATGCATACTCATCCCTGTTCATTGAAGAGAAATTTGTCCAAAGGGGGATGGGAACTATCCCTGGTGCTTACTTACAATCACAGCTGCCGATTTAGGCCATTGATTGATTTCCAAGTAAACATGCATAGGATTATTATGCAAATCACCATTTTACCTGTTTTTGTGTACAAAGGGCTGAAGCAATCCTGAGCCCATGTCCTTGGGAGTTCAGGGAGTATGCGGGGATGCGAAGGCTGGAATCCTATCCACGTTTACCTGGGAGTAAACCCCAATGAATTCAGTGGGACTTCCTTCTGAGCAGACATGAACAAGATTCCATTGGCTGACACAAATTAAAGCATTCTGAATCTGCTAGATTAGATAGATAGATGATAGATAGATAGATAGATAGATAGAGAGGTCCCTGCAAATGCTTGCCTATATCTGACAGTTATTCAACATCTGAACTGCATGCTGGTCCAGATTCTCTTGCTACATCTACCACAGCAAGGCCACTGTGGCGTAAAGCTTACAAGTGCTGTCAGGGGATTAGATCAAGCCTGAGTGGCTTAACTTTTAAGCTTTTAAGCTTGGTTCTTGAACAGAATCCATTCCAGAAGTCCGTTTGACTTCCGAAAATGTTCAAAAACCAAGGTGCAGCTTCTGATTGGCTGCAGGAGCTTCCTGAACTCAATCGGAAGCCACGTCGGACGTTTGGCTTCCAAAAATGGTTCGCAAACCGTAACAGTCACTTCCAGGTTTGCGGCGTTCAGGAGCCAAAACATTTGAGAACTAAGCTGTTTGAAAACCAAGGTACAACCGTATTGGATAGCCTTGGTCAAAACGCACACTCTCAATTTCACCTGCCTCAGTGGTGTGCTGGGGGGGGGGTGATATCTTCGCCAGGGGCGGCCTGTCCCCTGGGTTCTGGCAAGAGCCCAGCAAGATCTTGTGAGATTTTGCAGAGCTCCCATGAGATCTTGCCAGAACCCAGAAGCCGCTATCACCTCAGTCGCTTCTCCTTCCTTCTCTGGCTGTGGCACTCATGGCAAATACCCCTTGCATTCTGCCACCTGAGGCCCTGATCTTCACAACCCTGAATTTCTTGCAGGAAGGGGAAGGATTCACTCTTTGCATCCCCAATTTCTTGTTCTTCCAGGTAGTGCAACGATATCCAGTCATGAAAGGTGAAATTTTTTTTGCACAGAACCCTGCAGATCCTTCCCATGTGGACTGTGCCATCTGCAGTGACTGCCACAGTACACAATGTGTATATCAAAGACTGCTCACAGTGAAGGACAGCCACACGACTTGGGAGGCTAGCTAAAGCAGTGCTCCAGAACCCTGGAATGTCGGAATCTGCCTTGTGCAGAATCTGACCCATCGGTCCACTTAGCTCAGTACTGCCTGCACTGACTGGCAGCAGCTCTTCAGGATTTCAGACAAGGAACTTTTTCAACAGTACCTGGCAATGACAAGGACTGAAGCTGGGACCTCCGGCAAGAAAAGCAGGTGCTCTATCACTGCTCTATGGCCCTTCCCTGGAGGGAAGAGAGAGAGAGGAGCAAGGGGGTGAGAGAAGCAGCCCATGATGCAAGCATAAGACTATCGCTTCCGGAGTCCGGATACCAAAAGAGCGACTCCTCCATTCTTTGTGCCCGCTTTCTCGGTGCCGGGCGAGCGCAGGGGGCAGAGCGCGCCACACGGGCGCACACGCTGCCTCCGCCTGCGCGGCTGGCTGCACTGGGAGGCAGCAGGCAAGGCATGCCAGGGAGGGAATCAAAACGGTGGCTGGGAGGAGGACTCGGGAGGAAAGGGGGGGGGGGGACGAGAAATCAGCAGGGACCAAATGGATGGTACTGACCTGGAGGCTCATCTACAGACGTTCTCTTCGACTCCCCTGTTCCCGGCTGGCCCTTCCCCTTCCCAAAGCACCTCGGGCGCGTAATTGGGAAGAGAGGCGAAAGGCGAGGAGGGGCGCGAGCGGGCGGGGAAGGGAAACTTGAGACAAACTGTTCGCGCTGGGGTCCAGCTTCTGCCCCGCCCTGGCGCAAGGAACAGGAATTTCTCCAGAAGGGAGCCTTATCAGCCTTGCTGGTTTCCCAGCAGCGCAGCCGGACGGGGAGGTCAATGGGTTACCCAGGAGCGCAGCTGTAAACACCTCCGGAGAGGGCGGGAGAAAAATAAAGGGGGGGGGAGGCTTCCCGGCGCAAACTGGAACGGGGCAATAATCAACAGGGTGTTTATCCGCCGCCTCCCCCGCGCACTACCTTACCAAACAATGAGAGCGCGGGAGGGGGGCGCCGCAAGTTTGCGAAGAGGAAACGGGTTGCCAAGTTGTTTACAGCCGCGTTGCTGTCCGCTGGCCTGAGACGCTGCCCGGCTTATTTGCTCAAACTAGCTCGTCTGGTCCAGCCACCTGCGCAACTCCCCCATTTCTAGGATCTCTCTCTCTCTCTCTCTCTCTCTCCTGTGCCTTTGAAAAGAGAGGCTTTTCACCGCTGGTTAAACTTCAACTGAGACTGCAGAGCTGCCCTTGCTCCTTGCCACCCGTCTGGAAAGGAAGCAAAGGCAGGGGAGAAGGGTGTGAGCTAGATTCCTGTAGGGCCGGAAGGTTCAACTGTGGCTGGCCATATGTGCTGGACTCCAACTCCCATCAGCCCCAGCCAGCAGGGGCAGTGGTCAGGGAGGGCGGGAAGTGGTGTCCAGTCCAACAATATCTAGAGCTCACTAAGAGAGCCACTGCTGGTGTCTGAGTGGCTATTTCTGGTAAGTTTCCCTCTTATTCCTTCTTGCCACGTTAGGAAGTTAAATGGATTTCCAATTGCTGTTTACTTCCGCATAACGTCTGAATCAGGAGCGGCTGGCTGAGTCTGGCCCCGGTGCCTGCATGCAGCGGTGCACTGGATGAGGGCCAATAAACGGAGTTTGAAACCTGACAAGACCAGTTTGGCTCCCATGTCCGGGAGGCAGACCAATTACCTGTTCTGAATTTGGCCAAACTCTCTCTGAAGGATGAGGTATATGGTCTCTGGGTGCTCCTAGGTCCATCTTTGTCGCTGGAAACGTGTTTTTAGCAGCTAGGGACTCGTTTTTTCATCTTAGGCTGGTTTAAGACTACTTAGGTTGTAGTTATGTGTTTTTTTCATGTTGTAAGCTGCTCTGAGCATGGTTTGAACTGTGGAAAGACAGCATGCAAATGAAATCATGTATGTACCGGTATATGTACAACATCTGTCATGGGCATAGCCAGGATTTTTGTTAGGGAGGCAGGCCTTTTGTGGTGGGGGAAGAACCTCAGTTTGCTATATATTTTATTGATTTTTATTGATGGGGGCTGCCCCCCCAGCTATGCCTATGACAGCTGTGACCATTCCTAGACCACAGTGGGCCAGACACTGGAAATCTCAGTACTGGACTACTGCAATATGCTCTATGGAGAGCTGTCCTGTCAATTGGTCTGGAAGCTACACTTAGAGCAGAAGATGGGAATAGCAGACAACACTATTGCTGAGAGATCTGCACTGGCAGCCAGTGTGCTACTGGGCCCAAGCGTAGGTGCTGTTGTTGGTTTATAAACCCCTAAGCAACTTGGAGCCAGTTTGCAGGAGGGACAGCCCCATTCATTTCTGCCCAAGCAGTATGGTTGTCAGCCAAGGCACTTTCCTGATGCCACATGATGCCCACTCTACAACCACCAGAAAACAGAGCTCCCTAATGTTGTGGACCACCCTCCCAATATGTATTAAGCAAGCTTCTTCTGTTTTATCTTTAAGAAGTTTGCTCAAAAGAAAACTATCTAACCAAGCCTTCCCTGTATTAGGACCAGCTTTGCAGTTCTTTGATTGCTGAACAGTTTTTAATATTTTTATTTTGTCAAATGTTAATTGTTCATTGCTTAGGGGAAAGTGAGCAGCATAGGAATCGGAATCTGAGAAATAAAGAAACTGTGTGTGTGTGTGTGTGTGTGTGAATATGTATAATAGCTTAATCCATAAAAACATAGGGTTGTGAGTTTGCCTGTGAATGGATCTGCCACCATAGTTTTGCCCTAAAATGATGACTTATAAGAATCTTGGATTTGGTACCATGATCTTAGTATTTCTAAATGGCTGTGGACTGTCCCCTGCAAGGATAGTTCACTTGGGGTCATGTTTGACAGAAGTGTGTGGCGCATTGTGAGCAATAGCAGATGGCAGGGTTGGGTAGAAGTGCTTATCCGACCTCCCTTCTGTGAAGTCACTGCTGTTTACTGGGGGGGGGATGACGACAACAAGGTGTCAGTGAGGTCAGTGCTGCAAAAATACAATTCTTTAACCCACACCGGAGATAAATACAGGGCACTCTCTGATCAAGAAACTCAACCAGCTCCTGACCAACTGCCCTGATCTAGCCCGAAAGCTGCTTGACCAGATCTATGACAATTCTGTGAATGATGACCCCTAGGCAATGCTTGAACGAACTTTTTACCCAAGCCAATAGGGTGTTCCTGCTGGTGCACTTGCACAATGCTGACCTTACCCACTGCCTTGCCCCTCCCACTCTCCCTCATGATAAATCACAGTGATTCCACTGCCGGGAGGTCAGGTAAGCACCATGACCACCCCACCTTACCATCCACTACAGATTGTGTTTGAGAAAGAAACAGTAGCTGGCAGTTTTGGAGGAAACAAAGGTGGAGGAGAGAACGCAGAGAGTTTCTAGAAGCGACTAGCTGAAACTGGCGGTGGCACCTTGGAGGCGGCCGCCCAAGTTCTCTCTCCTTTCTAGAAGTGCTTGTTTGCCTCTGTTTATTGTTGCCCTGTATTTTTGCAACCAAGAGTCTCCGTGCTCTCTCATCCGAACAGAAGCAAAACCAGAAGTGCTGTCCTTGGAATTTCTCGTCGCTCAGAAGAACACATAAACAACATGGCCAATTGATTCACTAGTCAAACATAGAAGAACATCAGAAGATCCCTGCTGGACCACACTAACGGCTTACTTAGTCTAGCACCCTGTTCCCACAACCAAATGCTTCTGGGAAGCACACAAGCAGGGCATGAGGGCAAAAGGTCTCTTCCATGGTTACTCTCCAGCAGCTGTTATTTATGTTAACTTCCAATACTGAAGATAACATAAAGCCATCATGACTAGGAACCAATGATAGCTTTATCCTCCGTGACGTTGTCTAATCCCATTATGTTTATTCACACATCTCTCTATGAAAACCTAAATGCAACCATGCCCAATGCCTCCAAAAGGGATGCACATCACAGGAAGCATACAGAACAATTCTGCCATTAGAAATCTCTACGCATGTTAATTCCAGAATGAATTGTTACTGGGGAATATTTTGTGTGATGCAAAATGCTCATTGTCCTTCATGGAGATTCTGAGGTGGACTGTAGATTACACTGCCGGTGGAAACGGGCCTGTTTGTTCAATTTATGGCTCACCTGGCATTCCAACCTTTGGCAGACATTCATTCAAAGGGAATCTGAAGAATGCAGCACAGAGTTCATCCAGGGGCGAAACAAGCCTTTATTTTACCCAGGTCAAAGACCCAGTTTGGCGCGCACACACACCCCACACACAATTGCGTAAACACACATACAGGCAGGGAGCCTCAATGCTGCCCCTCTGGAGGCTTCACCCAGGGCAAAAAAACCCCAGCTAGCTCCCTCACCCTGCCCCATAGCTATGGCATTGAGTTCATGATACAGTGGTACCTCAGGTTACATACGCTTCAGGTTACATACACTTCAGGTTACAGACTCCGCTAACCCAGAAATATTACCTCGGGTTAAAAACTTTGCTTCAGGATGAGTACAGAAATCATGCTCCGGCAGCGCAGCGGCAGCAGGAGGCCCCATTAGCTAAAGTGGTGCTTCAGGTTAAGAACAGTTTCAGGTTAAGAACGGACCTCCGGAACGAATTAAGTACTTAACCCGAGGTACCACTGTATCCATCAAAGAACATGATACATTTAGCTGCTTGGAAGACTGAGCAGGGTTTTGTTTTTTTGGAGGGGCAGGGAGAGAGGAAATGGGAAGACTATTTGCTTGCTTCAGGGTGGGCAGGATTTCCTGGCAGCCTTTAGAAGGCAGGATGCAAGAAGTCCCTGCTGCAGGCATTTTGGCTGCTATTCAAGTCTGCAAGGGCAGCATCTTGATGCTACTGCAGGGGTAAAAAGCCAGGGGTAGCCAACAGGGTGCCCTCCAGAGGATGCAAGATGATATAACCCCCCTCTTTCCTAACCACTGGGCTGGCCATACCAGCTGGGGCTGATGGGGCTTGGAGTCTTAACAGATATGGAAGGTACCATGTTCGCTACCCCTGGTGCCATGTTGGCCGCAACATCTCAACGTACAAAGTTTATTTGGGTTTGGGAAAATTTGCTACCAATGTGATGGCAGCTTTAGCAATAATACTCAGGATTATAAAGCACTTTGAGAGTTCAGAGCACACACATTATTTCATTAACCAGCAGTCATTACACTCGGCATGACCTCTTTCAACCCAAACAACAATTTAAGAGAGAAAGATCACAGTCTCCTTAACAATCCTCCAAACCCTCATGTTATTCCTCAGGAACACCTATATTATTGTGACCTTTTTTTTTTTTAAGTATACACAGCACATGCTCTCTAAATGCCCCTTTTTGGGGCAATTTCACCTTCAGTTAAAATCTAAAATAGTACCCTGATCTTGACTCAGATTGTTCTGACCAAGGTGAAAAGGAATATCCCAGCTGCCCTGTAGCTTTAGCATCTCTCTTCCAATGTGGTAACATCCTCTTTTAGCCAGAGCTTCCTGATGCCACCCATTATTAGAAATACAGAAGTTCTCACTCCTCAATGCATATAACATCCCAGTGCCTTCCTGTTCTTGGGATTAATCTGCAAAGCAGCCACTCCTAGCACTACAGGCCTCTTCTTTGGGGGAAATCAAGAAAACATCTGTAAACTGCACTCATTTCCTCTCCAAAGGAGCCAGCCCACAAGAGGCATGCAAGCACAGAAGGAAAGAAAACCCCAGGGAGCCTTGCCTTTAATGGGATCCAAAGTGCCAACTCCCTTCCATCCTGGAGAAGGGCGGGTTCTTCCAGTGCCTGCTTCTAGCTCCTGGTCTCGATTCCTTGGATGGCAGGAACAGTTCAACATGGGACTCCCGCAGCCTGCAGAAATCTTCCATCTAGTTTTAAAGGGGCAACGATACCATGCAGGTGGAGAATTGCTCCTTGCTGGTTGATTCCCCATCACCGAAGCAGCAGCGGCCAAGCAGAGGTCACTTCTGCCCCACCTTGGAGCTGCTTTTTCACTCTTGGACTGTGATTTTGTTTTGCTGCTAAGCTTTGCTAGAAATATCCCTATCTTGCCTCTTCAACAGTGCTAAGTACCCTTAAATCCATCAATAATGCAGGGTGATCAATGGCCTTTTGATGCAGTTAGAGTGCAGGCATCAACCTGCAGAGTGGGATGTCATAGGCCTTTGTGGAGATGTGGGGCCACACAGGGATCTGAAAGGGAATTTCAGGGAACCCAGATGCCTCGGGGAGTTGCTAAGGGGGCTGGGGGCTGCGCAGTTTGAGGCCGCTGCTTCAACTGCAGTGCACAGCATTAAAGGGATCTAATATCTGTAAGAGCTGTTCCTTAATACTTGGACATGGGAAATGCACCGTGACCGCAGTCTAATGTATCTCTTGGACTCACTTTGCCACTCAGTTTTTCCCCCAACTAAGTGTTTGTGGGGAATATAGCACTGAAAGATAATCCCAGCACCTAATTTTTGAGAGTCTGCATGAAATTTGACTTTACCAGAATCTTGTGCTGACTTGAAATGTTTCAGTTTTTAACTTTTATTAAAATAAAAAAATTCCTTCCAGTAGCACCTTAGAGACCAACTAAGTTTGTTATTGGTATGAGCTTTTGTGTGCATGCACACTTCTTCAGATACACAAAAGCTCATACCAATAACAAACTTAGTTGGTCTCTAAGGTGCTACTGGAAGGAATTTGTTTATTTTGTTTCGACTATGGCAGACCAACACAGCTACCTACCTGTAACTATAACTTTTATTAAAGCATTTTTATTCTGTGCTTTGCAAAATCAAGGCATCACCAGCGCTTCTTCAGGAATAAGGGAAAATTACAAATCCAGTGAACAGAATTATGCCTAACCTCTCTCAGTCTGGATAGCCTTCCACAACCTGGGACCTCCAGATGTGTCCAGTCTTTACAATAATCAGAGTGCATCTCGTGGCCACACGGAGGGAGGCCTTTTCTGCAGTGGCACCAACCCTCTGGAAAACCCTCCCCTGTTCAATCCAAAATGTGTCAGCTCTGACTCACTTTACATACAAATTAAATATTTGTTTGCTCAAGCCTTTAGTTTGAACTCATTATTTTGATTCTGGGTTTTTATTGACAGTATGTATTTTTTGGTTTTACTATATCTGTATTCTAGTCTTGATTTTGTGGCTAAGTAACATTATGGGAGGGGATTTCCTAGGACTAATGTAAGACTGCGAAACTGCCTTGTTATTTTTGCTTTGGATCCTGCATGTTGTTATATTTATGGAAATGTGGCTTTTTGCATGTTACTATATTTTTGTTTTGCCATGTTATAATGAAATTGTTACTATGCGATTGTTTTGCTACATTATTCTGAAATTAATATTATGTTACTGTTTTGCTACATTATTCTGAAATTGATATTGTGTTACTCTTTTGCTATGTTATAATGAAATTCTTATGTTATTGTTTTGCTGTGTTATTATCAAAAGTTTTTGTAGTGTTTGTTTGAGATGCATCCCTCTTTATTTGCTGTAAACCTTTTTGAGCATGATTTTTTGTGTGTGTGGAGAAACAGCATACAAATAAAATGAATGAGTGAGTGAATTTTAAGGGTTTTCTATATTAACTGCTTAGAGATTTTTTATGTATATATTCCATTGATGAATTAAATAAACTCCCATCATCCCTAACCATTGGACATTCTGCCTGTGACTGATGGAGCTGTAGCCCAGCATCATCTGCAGGCGGCAGGCTGGGGAAGACCAATTTTCACATTTCACCATACAGTCACTGTCATAGGATTTCAGGCAAAATAGATGGTGTATGTCCACCGCAGAAACAATGAAAGAATGTGTGTGTGTATTACAAAATGTATAATACTGTAAATTAAAACCTGTAAACCGTTTACAAAGAATATAAAATATACATTTAAAATATTGAGCATACAGTAATGTTTTAGGTTATTTTAAAAATAAGAATCATGGAATCACAGAATCGTAGAGTTGGAAGGGACCCAAAGGGCCACGTAGTCCAACCCCTGCAATGCAGGAATCTCAGCTAAAGCATCCATGACAAATGGCTGTATATTCTTATGCACATATATATACATACATACATACCATATATTCTTATGTACTTACTTGGTGCTCTGTCCTGCATCCAGTCATTTCCAGAACAGATGGACAGAAGTAGTAGGTTCATGTGCTTAGTCTGATGTGTTGAAGCACAATGTGTGCCCTAGCATCAAATAAAACACCAAGTCACATCAGTCATATTGTTCTCCTGGTGGCTACAGTTCTGTTTAGAGATGGGGGTGCGGGGAATGAATTTGTTGAGTCATAAAAAAGGAATCAATTGTCAGATTATAAATATCTGGGCTTACAGGGAATGGAAACTGCTTGCAACTTGTTGTTCCCAGATGAAGGCAACTCCTTCCTTTAGAAATCCCCAACAGGAATTCTGATAAAGGACTCGATGCCAACAACCCTCATTAAAATAACTTAATAAACCATCATCTCGTTTCCTATATTCTACGATCCATTGCCAAGCAGTCAAAAGGCCCATTGTGACTGGAATATATGCTGTCTGAACAGGGAGAGGTTCTGTACTTTATCTGTGGGTTTCTTTGGGGGAATCTAAACTTTCCAGAGTGTCAAACACCTTCTAGCTGCAGGTTTTGTGTTTGTTTTTTTTTAATCTGCAACACTAATAAACAGTGGTGGAATAGACTTTCTCTTTTACTTCTCTGTTTTTAAAAACATGGGGGGAAACATTTCAATAAGTGCTTTAATTGGATTTGGGCTGCCTTGCATTAGTTTCCAACTTAACTCCTTCGGTAAATCACTGAATATGATATTGTTTGTTTGTGTGTTTGTTTGTTTATGTGTCAATCATCTTAAAATGTTCAGAAACCCCTTACTTGGCCTAAGCTGGCAAAATAACAGTTCTGGAGAAAGGGCTTTAAAAGGGTTTTGCTTCCTCTTTCCTGAGTGTCGGGAAGTTCACAGCAGCAGTGAGAACATCAGTTTCCTTTTGAGCAGAGATCACTAGAGATGGACAGTACAGAATTGCTCAGGTGGGGGTGGGGGGTGCTTTTGTCTTGAAATGTGCAGCTTGAAAAGGAATCATACAGCTGCAGCCAGGAGGAGCAAAGGCTTCAGTTCTAAGGCAACACCAGGCTCTGCTCCTGGCTCTGTCATATCCAAGCACAGAAGCCAGTCTGCTTCAACGATCTGCTTCGAGTTTGAAGCAAAGCACCTTCCTTCAAGCTCCCATTTTCAAAGCATCACTATGTGGTGGACTGACAGGAGCTGGATTTAGGGGCAGGTGTGTGGGCTGCTAAGCTTGGGGTAGGGTTGCCATATTTTGAAGAGGATACATTTGCCAACTCCTACTTTAACTATGGATCGCTGTGACCAATGCCGGATTTATGTATAAGCTAAACAAGCTATAGCTTAGGGCCCCACTCTCTTGGGGCCCCCCAAAAAATTTAAAGGAAAAAAACTGGATGTACATTTTCAAAATATAAGATAAAAAATAAAATAAAATAAAACCTACATACAGCAACAGTGTTTTGTGTTTTTTAGGCTCCTATGACGTAAGTAAGGGGCCCCGCCTGCTAGCCTGCTCCCTAAAATATCACAGGTTTGCTCATTTCTATATATAATAATTATTTCACTATTAATATACTTCTTCTTAATTGTATTTCACTATTAATATACTTCTTAATTGTATTTCAGTTCAACAATTCCTTTGATAAAATGCAGATTTTGATATGTGCAAATGGCTTTAGATACCTATTAGGTCCATAAATTACCATATAGAATATATTCAACACAAAAAACAGCAACAATTTGTTGTTGACAAAGGACAGCTGGACATATAAAGGGCCCCATTACCTTCAGTAGCTTAGGGCCTCATCAAACCTAAATCCCGCCCTGGCTGTGATTACCCATGAAAAAGAGGATGTGTCCTAGAAAAAGAGGACATATGGCAACCCACTGGCTCCTGTCCAGACTACCTACTCAGCTATCCCATTAGCAGCTGAAACAGTGGAAAGAGTTTGTCTTCCACTGTAAAGCTGACACTGACTTGCATGGCTAACATTGCACCAGCATTTGTGTGTGTGTACTTTACAGGAATATTTACAACCTCAGTGCCCGTTCCACAAACAGCGAATTTACAAGTGGTCATAGGCATGTTTGCATGTAAATGTATCATTATTATTTTTTGTGACAGGGAACAATTACATCCAAAATCATATGCCACCATTGTGAAAGAGGTTGCAATGCATTTTTTAAAAGTATTTTAAAGTAGAACAAGCAAAGGGAAATGCTGAAGCAACTCCTCACATGGGACACCATTTGACCTAAGATCAACACAGTGGTTAGGGACAAAGATGCTTCAAATCATTTTTTATTAAAATTAGCAAGTTCTGCAAATAGCTTGGAGGTGGAAGAGGGGTGGGATTTTGTTTAGATAAACAGAGCTGGGGGTAAAGGTTAAACACCATTCTTGGCCCTTATCTGAATTCCTTCCGCAGGCTCTGCTTTTAAAAAGACAGAGATGTTGCTTGTGGATTTCTCATATCACGTCGAGTTTTGCTCTGCGTTAATCCTTGAAAGTGGCTCCATGCCACCGTGTCTCTTAAGGTTCCAGCGCACAGGGATTCTCTTAAAAATGAAAAATGAAAAAACCCTGTTGTAACACTTAGAAGAACAGACTCTGTTAAGTATCTGCAGTTTGAAACAATAGCATAAGAGTCGTCCTGTGTTAGAGGCAGTATGAGTACTGGTTGCTGGGAACTGCAGATGGGGAGACAGTTGTTGTGCTCATGTTCTGCTTGTGGGACTCTGGTGGCCCTCTGTATACTGGAGGACATGGGCCTTTGGCCTGATCCAGAAACTTATGCCCCCACTGTGGAAGGATGTGTGGATCCAGAACTGGCCTCCACAGTCACTTACGTATGGACTCATTGTTAAAACCGTGTTTATGGAAGACAGTCTTACACAGCTACAAGTGATTGCCAAAGAAGAAGAAGAAGCAGGCTTGTCTTATGTTCTTATGATAAGATTCTGGAAGCACAGCTAAGCATTGGAACAGCACCATCTATTGGACTAGTGCCTCCACCTGTTAGCTGACACTGCTGCTTTTATAATCAACAAAGTTTAACCCTGATGACTGACTGCACATTGTCTTAAGTTCCTTGACTAGCTGGAGACTTGATTAGAGGAGACTGAGAGGAGATACGATACTGTGGTACCTCTGGTTAAGAACTTAATTCGTTCTGGTGGTCTGTTCTTAACCTGAAACTGTTCTTAACCTGAGGTACCACTTTAGCTAATGGGGCCTCCTGCTGCTGCCCTGCCGCCGCCAAGCGATTTCTGTTCTCATCCTGAAGCAAAGTTCTTAACCTGAGGTACTACTTCTGGGTTAGCAGAGTCTGTAACCTGAAGCGTCTGTAACCCGAGGTACCACTGTAAAATGTAAAGGTAAAGGGACCCCTGACCGTTAGGTCCTGTCGTGACCGACTCTGGGGTTGCGGTGCTCATCTCGCTTTATTGGCCAAGGGAGCCGGCGTACAGCTTCCGGGTCATGTGGCCAGCATGACTAAACCGCTTCTGGCGAACCAGAGCAATGTAGTCATCTTCAAATATATAAAGGACTGTCACAAGGAGGGTGGAGCAGGCTCATTTTCTTCTGCTCCGGAAACTAGGACCCGAACCAATGGATTCAAGTTACAAGAAAAGAGATTCTGACTAAACATCAGTGAGAGCTGTTTGACAGTGGAATGGACTCCAATGAGAGGTGGTGGACTTATCTTTCATGGATGTTTTTAAGCAGAGGTTGGATGGCCATCTGTCATGTATGATCCAGAGATTTGTACATTACAGGGGATTGAACTAGATGACCCTCAGGGTCCTTTCCAACTCTAAAGTTCTATGATTCTAACTATTAATAAATGTAAAAATCAACAACTGGTGATAAAAGATCCTTTGCTAGCCTGAGCTTGGGAGAAAGGGTGGATATAACTATATTAAATAATAATTTGTCACTAAGAGAACACACACAATTCTGAATAACACAAACTCTCCCTTGTTAATAATTCAAACATCTTCCATATTATTTCACTAATGTTCCATGAAAAGTTTCACTTTGTCATTTTTAAAAACTCATTACCCTGGCATAATAAGAAAACATCTTTGCTGAATAACTGCAAGAATAAAAATGAGGCAAATGCCATCTTTCTAGATTCTATCCTTCCTTTTAGTCAACAGAGGGCAGCAGATACTTGTGCCAAGCATTTGTTTGGTTCCTGCAAACACCTCCAGCACATATGGCTCTCTGCGCCGCAGCATCCTCAGAGATCATAAAAATCATAGCGTTTGCGTACTGAGAAGAATAATGGGGGACAGACCCACATAAGACACACTCTGACTTCAGTACATTACAGAACAGGGACTGCCTATAGAACACTATTAATGTTTAAGATGTTAAGAGTTTGAGATTTCTAATAGAGAAAAGAGCACATGTTCATTCTTAGACTGATGCACAGCTATCAAGAGAAACAGAAAAATCCGAACACCAGAATGAGTCAGTCACAGTGAGCAAATTATACCACTTGCTGTGAGGATGCTCCTAGTCTATTTATTAACACAGACTATGCTGCTCAAACTTCTCATCCTTTCCTGGCATATCTGGTACATTTTGAGTGGACAAAAAGTGAAATTATGGTTACCAGTGTTAATGCTGATACCTCAGATCCACAAAGTATTTAGAAAGTCAGGCCTCTGGGGACATCTGAAGCCTAGCAGAGCAATCCGAAACCCCCTCCCCTTGCACTGGGTTGGGGAGGGGGTTTGGATTAGTTGGAGGTGTCCCTCTGCCTAGCCCAGCAGTTTGGGCTAAGCTGGCCTCCTTCTGGCTCCCACCAACTGAGACAAGCATCACTCTTCTATTATGCCACAAATTGTGGGTGGAAGTGCCCATCAGTAGCAACCAGTGGGAGGACATGAAGTGAGATGTTCCAGAGGTGGACCAGGGGTGCGGGTCAGCCAATCTGGGCCTGATCAATGTGCCAGCTTCAGGCTGGCATAGAAAACATGGAGCAACGTTTGCATTGCACTCTTAACTTGAGAACAGGATAGGATAGCCATTACCAGAGGAC